CTTCAAATGCCTCTCCCTAAGACACCCTTGTGTACAGTCCTCAGAAAAAATCAATAAACCACACATCCAGTCTCCCTTTATCACGTGATACTTCCCAGGGCTCTCTCTGGCCACAGGTTCCTTTCCTGAGCTCAGGATTACCTGTCTTCCCCAGCCCAGGGTGCCAGCCTGTCATCTTCCTTGAGGACCATCTTGCTGGTACTTCCTGTTTCCTTCCTTTCTTCTTGAGAACTACCTGACTGTATATAGGGTAGAGGTGCCCACTATTAACCTTATTAGGAGGTACTTAACTGGCCACAGGTGGACTGAGTCCACTCCCTGTTAAGGGGCTAGTCCCAACTATGGCAAGGAGAGACAGAGAAAACACCGTATCAGACTATCCCTCAGCCTGATGGCTAGGGACCGCTCCTGTAATGTGGGAGAACTCAGTTCAAACCCCTTCTCTACAGCAGGCAGACAGCAAAATTGAACCAGGATCTCCCCCAACCCAGGTGAGGGCCCTAATGACCAGGTTATAAGGGAGACTTTTCCCTCCTCCCACCAGGCTATTCTGTGACTCTAGCCTCCCTTGCCTTTATTGAAATGCAGAACTTTGAGTTGGGTCAAAATTAAACATTTTGATATTTCTGAAACATTCTGATTTTTTTTTGGTTTTGGTTGAAACTATTTGCTGAACTCACATTTCACGATGACCAAACTGGCACTTTTTGGCAAATTATTTAACAATTTTTGCTCATCTCTGCTGCTTAGTCACCTGTCTCTTTGTGCCGCTTTGTAACTTTCCACTCTCCAAACCCTCTCCCTGCAGACCAATGTGCTCAAACTAATTTCCCAACCCTCAGACACCCTCTTTAGCAAAACTATTGTGTGATCCGAGTACAGTCATTAAGGTTGACAACTCTCTTTTGTGCCCAGTCTTTGGAAGATGTGACACAGCCTTACCAACAAAGATGGAATCCACACATGCACAGACAGAGGGGCATTCATGATCCAGCAGTTTTCATAGTAAGAACTTCATAATATCAACCAGAATTCCTAAATTGTACATAGGTTCCCCAATTCATCACAGGCTCCTACCCAGGGATACAGGCACATTCTCACAACGCGCACACCCTGCAATGTAAGTTCTGTCCCAAAATAGCCTGTCTGGCTTCCCTTCTCAGGGCAGCTTATTTGGGTTTATGATCATCCAGAATGACCCAATCAGGATCACTTTGGCGGCAGTGTCTAGAGTCGGGTACTCTGTGTGGCTTAGAGTTGGGTACTCTGGGTGGCTTACTTTGGTCCACTGTCCTTTTTTCTAATGGCTTGAGTGCTAGGGCCTAGGTTCCAGCTAGTCACCTTCTGCTCTCATAATCTAGAATGAGTCTGTTCCTATTCTTCCCTGAATGCTGGTTCTTCCAACACCAAATGGAGCAGATGCAGCAGGACTGATTTGGAGATGGGGAAGGAGAGAGAGACCACTCTAGGCCATTGGGCTCTAGGCCACTGGGATGATTCCAGCCCAGCTCAGCAGGGCCCAAAATTCATTCCCATCTGCCAGTTGGCCTACAGACACTAGATTCTCACTGCATTTCTTGCTAGGCTAGGCTCCATCAGAACTGGGTCTGCGGGGCTCCCAACACAGAGATGAAGAACCGTGTCTCCGCTCCACACCTAGAAATGGTTCCTCCAGCTTAGGCCCACTGCCTGGGTCCCAGCCCATGCCTCATGCTCACTGAAAGCCCAGCACACATCAGTGTGCAGGGCTCTCTGGGGAGTGCTACATCTGAGTCTGGGACTAGAGACTGGCATAAGGTCTGCCCCCCCATCCGCTGCTGCCCATACTGCTAAGAGCAGCAGTGCAGCTTGTTTCATTCCTTTTCCCAGTCCCAGTTTGTATTCTACGAGCACTAGTGTGAGTGTACAGTGGTATTTTCTGCCCAGTAGGGTTTTATATTCTGCTGAACCATATGGAGGTCAGCCAGTGCTTTTGCATAAGAAAGAACAATACATACAGTCTGCAGCGTACATAAGCCCCTTCCCTATGGCTCACTAAATCTGGTCTGGGGCCAGGATTAGGAACGGATTAGCCACCAGGCCTTCTTGCCCAATGCACCGGCTGTTTTCACAGCCCATGCCCCAAACACACAGAGTGGTGAGGAGAGGAATCATGCTTGGAACTAACCGCCTCTGTCCTCTCAAAGTGTTCCTCACTATATGGAGAAGCAGATCCCAGCACCAGGACCTTAGAAGTGGTTTAGCACTCACTCCAAGTGATGCTGCAGGGCTGCTACAGTTAATGGAAGTTGGACATGTCCCAGGGGCTCTCTTCCCAGAGCCACTCTCTAATAATAGCCCTTTTAGTGGGACATGGGTAATTGGTGCCTGGAGGTAATCATGAGGGAGAATGCAACATCTTCTCCCTTTCAACCTGCACTGGCCAGAGGCACTGCGCTATCTGACTATTCTTCTCGCTGGAGCTACTGTGTATCAGTCTGGGCTGCTCTGACACACAGCCATTTTACTCACAAACCACACAGCAAAGGGCCTTATTCCCACTCAGACACCTAATCTGAGCACGTAAGAGATTCTGCAACTCCCTGTTCTCCTTGTTCTGTCATCTCTGGATGCAGGGAGCCAGTGTTGGCACCACAATGGCCTCTCCTGCTCCAGGGCCCATGCAGTTACTTCTCCACACCCACTTTACTTCACAGAGACTTCTTGCTTGGGTTTTTGAGCCTTTTGAAAACCTAGCCCCCCATCAACCGCCTCCATCTCCATCCCATCTTCTGTGAAATGGGGAGACAGATATTCACCCGCCTCTATAAAGTGGTGGCTGGAAAGTGCTAGAAGACAGCTAAGGATTATTCAGACAGGATGTTGACACCTCCAGAGAAAATTAGGTGCTGCCACCAAGGCCTTGGACTTGTCACCTGAGCCCAGATCCTTATCTGCCTTTTTCTGCTGCTCCCCTTTGGTTTCTACATGCTGCCTTGTGCGACCTCATGAAATGCAAACCCTGGCTCCAGTGAACCCTTCTCCCTTCCAAAGAGAAAAGTTGAATGGGTACTTAACATGCTTATCAGGATCCTGTTTCTCCCTCACTTTCCATCTCCTCTCTCCTTCCCCACCTGTGCCTGATGCTCAGGGGCTTGGTTTTGCTTCCTTAATTACTCACAAGATGGGATTTTGCTTGGGGGTTTCTATATACAGCACCCAATCCTTTTCCTTAGCGGATTAGCTCTTTGCAGAAAGCTGCCTACGTATGCAGTTTAACCTAATCTTCACATCACTCCACTAGCTTCTTTTGCAATTTATACTGAGCTGAAATCTAGCCATAGTCTCTCTGCTTCCTATTTCCCACCAGCTATAGAAATCTTTTAGGGACCTCAGCATGGTGCTTTCCCAGCTCCCTCTCATCTGCACCTGGGGAACATTGTGAATGGAAGGGGGTCAGGCCCCCTTCACCTGCATTGCTCACACTTAGTTCGTTCATTTAATGGGAGTGGGCCAGAAAAGTCCTGCGCAGTGAGTGTTGCTGAGGTAAGCAAAGCTGCGATGTGTCCCAACCCCCTTCTCTGCCTCCCTGCACTGAGCAAAGGATGTGAGCAGAGCCTGGCTTGTCTAACTCAGATGATGCGCCCTGGGGGCAGGAACCATGTTGCTGAGCACACACTCCAGTGTTTATCAAAGAAATCCCCAGGTCTCAGGCCTCTCTGCTCTGACAGATCATTCCCTGATCAGCTTTCATTCACTCTCTCCACTGGATGAAGAAAGGCACAGGGTTAGTGGGGTAGGCAAACTGCCTGACTCCCTTCATTGCTACCATGTGTCCAGCTGTTATCCAGAATCCTTCCACAGACTCTGCCTCTCCTCCTCTTCTTTCAGAGTAACTCTCCTGGGATCTACAATCCCCCATCATTTCCCTGCCTCAGACAAGGCTCTGTTAGTCCCATGATACGCTAGATTATCCCCGTTAGCCTTTGAGATCGTCAGGCTCAATGGGTAGTGATCAACGGCTCGATGTCTAGTTGGCAGCTGGTATCAAGTGGACTGCCCCAGGGGTCGGTCCTGGGGCCAGTTTTGTTCAACATCTTTATTAATGATCTGTATGATGGGATGGATTGCACCCTCAGCAAGTATGCAGATGACATTAAGCTGGGGGGACAGCTAGATACACTGGAGGGTAGGGATAGGGTCCAGAGTGACCTAGAAAAATTGGAGGATTGGGCTAAAATAAATCTGATGAGGTTCAACAAGGACAAGTGCAGAGTCCTGCACTTAGGACGGAAGAATCCCATGCACCGCTACAGGCTGGCGACCGACTGGCTAAGCAGCAGTTTTGCAGAAAAGGACCTGGGGATTACAGTGGACGAGAAGCTGGATATGCGTCAGAAGTGTGCCCTTGTTGTCAAGACGGCTAATGGCATATTGGGCTGCATTAGTAGGAGCATTGCCAGCAGATCAAGGGAAGTGATTATTCCCCTCTATTCGACACTGGTGAGGCCACATTTAGAGTGCTGCAGCCAGTTTTGGGCCCCCGACTACGGAAAGGATGTGGACAAATTGGAGAGAGTCCAGTGGAGGGCAACGAAAATGATTAGGGGGCTGGGGCACATGACTTACGAGGAGAGGCTGAGGGAACTGGGCTTATTTAGTCTACAGAAGAGAAGAGTGAGGGGGGATTTGATAGCAGCCTTCAACTACCTGAAGGGGGGTTCCAAAGAGGATGGAGCTAGGCTGTTCTCAGTGGTGGCAGATGACAGAACAAGGAGCAATAGTCTCAAATTGCAGTGGGGGAGGTCTAGGTTGGATATTACGAAAAGTATTTCACTAGGAGGGTGGCGAAGCACTGGAATGGGTTACCTAGGAAGGTGGTGGAATCTCCATCCTTAGAGGTTTTTAAGGCCCGGCCTGACAAAGCCCTGGCTGGGATGATTTAGTTGGGGTTGGTCCTGTTTGAGCAGGGGGTTGGACAAGATGACCTCCTGAGGTCTCCTCCAACCCTAATCTTCTATGAAACTATGTGACTCCCTTATATGTTTTGCTGTGCAGAAGAAAATGTGCCTTACACTCTGCCCTTTCAAGCCATGCTTTAGTTCCACCACTGCAGCCCCAGGCCTTGGCCTCTGGGCAAGCCCCTCTGCATGGCTCTCCTCCATTTCTAATTTAAATAGCAGATCAATTCACATGCATAGAACTTGATCACCTTACACACAGGTGGCCCAAACCTTCACAGGGACAATTCCACTTGCAGACACCCCGGCTAAGACAACCCTCAAAATCTTTATACAAGAAGCAACTAGCTTTCTGTCTCTGTGATGTTGGGCCTCCGTCTGTCCCTGTGTCCTGGCCCATCCTTCCATTTGGAAAATTCTTTTGCCCAAAGTCACTAGCCCTGGATCACAGACGCTAGTTCAGGCAGGCCTGGATGTTAGCTGTCGTACAACACAAAAGAACCTGAGAGAGATTTGACTAAAGCCAATGGCCTCTGTAACCAGCTCCTCTGCAACTCCCCAAGCAAAGAGAAAGTGCCTAGTCAACACGATCCCCGAACCACCATTTGGAAGCTGTTGCTGCAGCCAGCCCTCATGGCGTCTCTTGTGGAGGCCCTCCGTTTTAACCCTTGCAGTGTAGAGTTTTATATCAAGCACTCTCACTAATGTCATACCAGGCATTTTACTTATACCCGTACCACAACAATATTACTAACAGTGAATAATACAGCATCTTTGTTCCCAACATCACCTTGCTGGCCCCCAGCCTACCACCAACTCCACTCACCTACCAGTCCCTACTTAAGAAGATGTCTCTGATAGCAGCAACCCTGAAAGCACCATTTAAAATCCTTTTCTCCCCATTTCTAGCCCAACAGCTTGACCCTCCCGGGGTTGGCATGTGGGGTTGTCTCACTTGATGGGTAGCTCTTTGACACACCACAATATCTTCCCCACTCATCTCTGGCCTGGAAGTAGAGTCCTTATTACACACATCTGGCCCTCTCAGATGTCCATGGAACTTATTAATTTCCTGGCCCTTTGACTGGGTGCTTCAGACAAGGCTCTGTTAGTCCCATGATACCCTAAAATATCTCCTCAGCCTTTGAAACCATGCAACTCCCTCTTCAGTGACTCTATTACCTGGACCACTGCCCTTCTCTTTGCCTTCCCACGCTCTGCTTTAATGCCACTAGGGCTGCTCCAGGCCTTGGCCTCTGGGCAAATCCCCTCTCCTGCTGTCTCTCCTTCTCCATTTGTAGTTCAATCACATGACATACCCCAGCAGGGTTCGGTTCCTTTCCCTAAGCCCGAGTTGCAACCCAGGTATCCAGCCTGGAGAGGCCAGTGGCCTGAACAGGGGAGTGGGAATTGGAAGCTCCTGACCACAGCGTGCAAATTCCTCTCCCTCTCATTGTAAGGGGCGGATCCCGCCCCCAGGGGGACTAAGGGCTTCATGGGCCGAGGGGTGTGAGGTACAAGGCCTCCTGCCCTAACTATATTTGTGGGGGAGGGGATATATCCCAAAATAGAGGTGCAGCAAAGTGGCATAAGGAAAGGGTGGGGGATGGGCGGTCCCAGGCTGTTTGCACGGGGCCAGGTACCTGCTGCCCCGCACCCAGCCAGGCAGGGGAGGAGGCGGAGGCTGCTGGTTAGTGGCAATAGGAACCAGCCAACCCTCGCCGGGCCGACCCCACACAAAGCCGGATCCCCGCAGCGGCGCTGGCCCAGGGGGCTCGGCTGGCACCAGGCACAGGCGGCTACAGCCCCTGCCGAGCCGGTAGGAGGAGCCGGGGCTGCGAGGGAGGAGCCGCTCCGGCTCGGCAACACGGTGATCCGGAGCAAGGTGCACAGGGAGCCGGGCCCAGCCGGGGGCCCGGCCAGCTCCGCCCCGGGAATCCCGGTGCCACGGCAGCAGAGTCCCCGCCTCCAGCAGAGCAGGTGCGGCGGGCGGAAAGAGCCGTAACGCAGAGATCCCGGGCTGGCTGCCGCCTGCCGGGGGAAGGGAGCTGGGCACCGGGGTAGGGATGATCCGCGCCCGGGGAGGTCCCGGCCCCTGATGTGGCTCTGAAGCCGGATGACAGCGCAGCCCCCTTCCTTCCCCTTCCCCGGTCTCACGGGCCCCGCGGCTCTGTCTCCCCGTATCATTAGCGGTCGGGCTCAGATCCCTCCGAATCCGGTGTGACCCATGCGGCGATCCGGCTCCGATCTGGATATAGACCCTCCTTCTTGGTGATCCGGCTCCCGCGGTACCCGGCTCCGTTGCGGATTGCACACCTCTTTCCCATCCCGGGAATCGTGCTCCTTGACTCTACCCATAACTGCGTCGAATTTTGCAGCCGCTACAAGGATTGGAGACTATCTACCTGCTTCTATTTGGATTGCACATAGTTTCCTTGCACCGCTCGAGGTTGCACAGCAGCGCTGCACGGACCCGATTGCACAACATCAGCACCGACACAGCTCCAGATTGCACGTGAGTTACTTGCAGGAATTGGGATTGCACAGCAGCCTTTGCACAGGACCATATTGCACATTATTTACCTGCACCAATCCGGATTGCTCAGTAGCCTTGGGCTAATCCAGACTGCACAAAATCCTTTACACTAATTAGATTTGCACAGCAGATCCCAACATTGATTGCACCAATCCAGATTGCACCTGCACTGATCTGGATTGCACATTAATCATTTGCACCAATTCAGATTGCACATTATTTACCTGCACAGATCCAGATTGCACAGCAGCTTCTGCAGGTGTCTGTGGTGTTTGCTCACTGCCAAAACTGGTGAAAGATGTTGCCGGGGTCTATCCAGATCTCTGGGGAGACTTTATCAAGTGCTGAGATCCGTGACATTTGTGAGAGCCTGCGGGAGAACTCGGTGCGACTGCTGTCACTCCGGGGCTGCCAGCTTTCTGACCGGGATTTCGAGCGCATTTGCCGAGGGGTAGCGGAATCTCACTCCTTGGCTCAGCTTAACCTCAACCTGGGGATTGTGTCCAACATCAACCGGGTCAAGCAACTGGCAGAAGCCCTGAAGACAAATCGCTCCATCCAATCTCTGTTGTAAGTAGGGGAGACCTTGCTGGTGCCATGGAGATGGGCCACCCCCAAGAGTGGCCATCCAGAAGTGCAGTATCCCTGCCCCCAGTGAGCACCCATGTCAGGAGATGTGCTTGCCCTCCGGCCTGTTCTGACAGGGTTGCCTGACCTCTCTGTGGCACTCTGTTGCTCTTCAGTCCTGTAAATTAATTCCTATCTGAGAAAAAATGTATTTGATTTTAAGCATCAAGTCCCCCTGCCCCATGCTGGGAGGAGGCCACCACTGCACCTCTCCCATCTGTATTCTCCTGGCATATCTGATATCTCTGCTATGTTGGAAGGGGGATGTCTCTGCATCCTTAATTCCCCAGACCCGTCTGTCCCGTGGTGCGAGGGAGTTGTCTGCACCCCTGGAGTCCCCAGCCCAGCTTCCCGTCCTATGCTGAGAGAGGACTGTCTCTGTACCTCTACCACCTGTCACCAATCTGTTCTAAGCTCCCTCATTCAGGGACACAGCATCCCTAGGCATTTTGGAGCGTTGCCCCCACCAGGCAGTGGCATCTTCCTCCTGTTCCCTCTGTTTCTCGGTTTCCATCGACTGAGGCAGTCCCCAGTGCCCTCAGGAAGGCACATTAATAATCCCTAGCCTTTACCCACACAGCCTCCATGGGAGCCCCCTGACAGATGCCGGCCTAGCTCTCCTCAATCCAGCACTCTCCATCCATCCCTCTCTGGTGGCTTTGGACTTGGGAGACTGCATGCTGGGTGACGAGGGCATCAACTTGATCTGTGGGCTCCTGCCTCCCGATGGAGCCAAGTCAGGTAAGCAAAAGGGTCTGTGGGGTATGCAGTGGCCAATGGAACTCCTATATGGCTCAGGCCCCTCTGCTTAGAGCTAAACGTCCTCTGCCTGTGACTTGTTAGAGGAGCAGGACATAAAGTTTCTCCCTCTGCTGAGACATGGCACGAGGCTTCTCCTCCCAGCGTAAGTGCAGTGGAACAGTCCCTTAGTACAGGAGCCATTGCACCGGGTGAGGACTCTGCTTCCTCCTTGCATAGTTCTAAGGGGACGGAGCCGTGTCCAATGGAGCATGGCTCCTGGTACAGTGGACTGTTCCATTGGCACGATGCTTGTGGGGAATGGTGGCCAGTTTGCTGCCTCGTGATGGGAGAGTTTGAATTTAGGGGGAGGGAGGCGCAAGGCTTGGACTTCTGATTTGGTGTTAATATTTTGCATTTGTGAAGCCTGAGCTGTGATTGGTGCATTTACAGTGAATGCAGATCAATGCACATTACATTCCTCCTCCCCCCCCGCCCCTCCCCATCCTGCCCCGGAACTGGGATTTACAGTAAATTCGCCCCATTGGCTCCCCTGGGAATTAACACTGAATGATCATCCCTTGTGGCTGTTTTACGGGGAAGGGACTAACTGTCTGCTGGCTGAATAAGTTCCTCTTTACAGGAGATGAAGTCTGAGGCCTGGGCTCTGTCTCCACCCTCTCACCCCAGCACCCTAACCAGCTATTGACCTCAGGCCTCCCCAGGTATATGCTCAGAATAGACACAGCAGCCACCCCTCCTGAAACTCAAGCTTCAGTACCTGCCTGTCCTGCCCATCTCCCCCTCCCATGCTGAGACTGCTTTTTGTGAGCAAATGAAGGGGCAGCACTGCAGGTTGTAGCGCTAATCAGATAATTAACCTCTCCTCTGGAAGGTTTGGTGACTTGTCTGGACCCTTGGGGTGTTCATTGGCTTCTCTCTTTCTTCTCCAGGCCTTAAGGAGTTAACACTGAGTGCAAACCCGGGTGTCACGGCCAAAGGTTGGGGGCGCCTGGCCATTGCAGTAGCTCACAGCTCCCAGGTGCGAGTGTTGAACCTGGACTACAACCCCCTCGGTGAGCGGCACAGGCGTGAGAGGCTCTGAACTACTAGCTTGACAGGCTTTGTGTGAGTTTGCTGCTGCTGAAGGTGCTGGTCTGGTGGCCCTGGAGACTGACTCTAGACCAGGGGCATCCTGGGGACTGGCAAGGCAATGCAGGTTCCTCCACACTGTCCCTTCTGCTGGGCCTCTTCCTTGCCCTGGAGATGAGGGCTAGGGTGACCAGATATTAGGAGATTTGTCTTATATAGGCAACTATACCTCCCACTCCCCACAAAAAAAGTGTCCCAATTTTTCACACCTGTTATGTGGTCACCCTAGTGAGGGGGGAGTTCATTCTTCATAGCCCATTCAGTTCTCTGCTTGAGACTGGGGGCCAGTTAGTTCCATTTGTGCTGATAGTTTGTGTGATGAGGACACGTGTCCTGCCAGGAAATGCATCAAACATGCTTCACAGAGGAGATAGCAGCTGCAAGCAACCTAGAGAGGAAAGACTGTGTCCCGCACCTCCATCCCCCGGGGACTCTGGGCTCCCCTTGTCCCACAGCTGTGTTTGCCTGTGTCAGGTCTCAGCTCAGGTGGCGACCTTCCTCTGCTCCCTCCCATTCCCAATCCCTTAGGCCTGAGCAATTGGCCTGCCAGATGGAAAATGCCTCCCTCCCCCCTTTCCTCCAGCTCCTTCCCCGGATAATAGCATGGAGAAGAGCCTGGCAATGGTTGCCATGGAAACCAACTCTCCTTCTCCAGCTTGTGTTGCTGGAGCAGGATTGGCAGCTGGTGAGGCAGAGACCAGGCCATGTGGCTCTCCTACCTCACCCTGCCCCAGGAAACTAGGCCAAGCATCTCTCTCTCCCCTCCCTGCCCCATCCCCCCACCTCCACCCCACCCCAGCAGAGACCCTGGCTGGCTGGGTGCTTCTACTCTGTGTTAAGAGTTCCTAACATGGTAGCTGATGGAGCCCCACCTGTGACTGTCCCCTGCCTCCTTCCTGGGGATTTTCAGGAGAGTGCTTCATGGGCACTGGCTGCCAGTGGGGCCAGCCCCAAAAGAAACGTTCCCCTGCAAGGGGTGACAGCATGTCTGCTGGCTAGGACAGTAGACTCCTGGGTTCTATTCCTGACTCTAAGAGGGAGTGGGAGCTAGTGGTCAGAGCAGAAGGGCTGGGAGCCAGGACTCCTGAGATCTATTCCTGGCTCTACTACTGACTTCCTCTCTGACCCTGCGGCCAGTCACTTCCCCTCTCTGTGCCTGAGTTTCCCAACTGGTGATGACGGGAGGCTCCGAGATCCTTGGGTAAGTGGATGGAAGGTGCTGTGTATGAACAAAATCTTCTTGTAAGAGAAACAGTTTCACTATGTTCCTTCAAGTTCTCCTTGTTCACTCCCAGAACAGCCAGTCACAGCCCACAACTAACAATCCATCCCCCCCAACTTGTCTCTTTTCACAACCAGCAACCCTTCACTTCCTCCTCCAAAGTGTTCTTGGCACATAGGGATTAGCTGGTAGCATTGGGACAGGGTAGTCCCATGATCTGCCTGGCCCAGTGGATGCATGATCCGTGTGAAGCCAGACTCTGCTGACATCCCCTGGCTTTCTTCTCCTCCAGGTGACCAGGTAGCAGGGATGCTGGCTGTTGCTGTGGCCTCCAGTCGCACCCTGGAGGTTCTGGACTTGGAAGGAACAGGACTTACCAACCATTCGGCCCAGGTAAGGAGTGTCTGGTGCTGATATAGCATCATGTTGACACAGGTGTCAACAAACAGTGGAGTCCCCAACCCTGAGATGTACCTCCTTCCTTCCCCCCCATCAATGGATCCTCTTCTCAGAACAGTCTCTGCACCTAGAAGTACTGTTACTATCTGTTCCTTTCCCTGACCCATGGCTCTCAGCCCTTAGAGGTCTTGCTCAGCCCTAGCCACTGGAGGGCGAAAGAGCAGAATTTTTTGCATCTCTGGTTCTCTGGAAAAGTGAAGGAGAAGGTTTGGTTTCAGGAACAAAGTTTGTGAATAAGTCTTGGAGTTTAGGCTTAGAGCGGGTAGGATTTGAGATTAGGGGGTTATAGATAATTATCTGCTTAGTGGTTTTTTGCAGTCTCTTCTCTGAGAAGCTCAGCTCATGGTACTGAGATTTCCCATTTTCTCTGTCTCGTCTGACTCAGGCTTACAGGGGACACAGCTGGAGGTGGCAGGGGACATTTGCAGGTAGGAGAGAGCAGGAGTAGTTTCCTCCTTGGGTACAGCCAGGAAGTCCTGGCAATGGTCTCAGGTGGAGAGTTCTTGGGTGTCCCTAAAAGCTGGTGTGGGGGGCTCAGAGCCAGTGGAGGGCAGAGAGAAGAAACGAGGACGGGTTGGGGCGGATGAAGAGAGTACAAAGCAGCTCTGAACCCCTTTCCCGTCAATCTGACTTCTGTCTCTGCTGCCTCTCTACCCGCTTCTGGCTCTCGTTCTGCTCAGACCTTGCTGGACATGGTGGAGAATTACCCAACAGCCCTGCGGACGCTGATCCTGGCAGAGAACAGCATCAGTCCTGAGCTGCAGCAGCAGATCTCAGACCTGCTCTCCGAGGGTGAGGAAGAGGAGGAGAATGAGGCTCATGAAGTCACGGCCAGGGAGAAGAACCCCTGGATCTGCCAGAGCAGTAAGACCTCTGGGACCCCAGAGAGGTGGAGATGAGGCTGGACTGGGGAGGCTGGCAGGAATGAGGGTTCCGTGATGTTCTCTGCTGGGATGAGCATGTCGCTGTGGGGTTGGTAAATGGACAAGGTCCCATCTCATTGTGGGCTGGAATACAAACTGACTTCAAGTCTCATCAACCAGTTAAGTAGAGTTGGGCTGGGTCAGTACTTCTATAGGAAGCCTCCCAGGACAATCCGGCTTCTGCAAGAAGTGGAGGTGGGGCTCAGTGGGCTCTTCACAGTACCAGCGTCCCGGCATGATGCTGCAGGAATTAACATCTTTCAGCAGAGACGTAAAATCAGAGTCATGAATATTAAAGCTCTCATGGGTCTTTTCATAAAACTTGGGGAGTTGGCCCTGGTGTCTCAGCTAAATTCCAGCTCATGTCATTCCAGGCTGCTTCCCTAAATTCCCCTCCAATTTGAATGGGGTAAACCTTGTGAGGGTTACCAGCACTATAGTCTATCTGCAGTGGCTGTATTTGAAGGAGAGGGATATTGGAGCGATTCCAGTGAGCTATTGTATACCAATGTTTGATAGGAATCCAGCAGAACTAACAGGGATAAAGGCAAAAAGGAGATCTACCCAGATCCTGCTCATTGTTTAACCCAAGCTCCCCAGTTGTCCCATCAAAATAGGAACTAGGATAGCTGCTCCTAAAGCACCGAACAAATCCAGACTCCAATGCCATAGCACCACAAAAACTTGGAACTAGTACCTGGATCCAGCCAATTTTTGGCCAGTGCTCACCCCTGCCCACTCCCAATTCCAGTGTCTAAATAGAGAACAAGTATAGCTGCTCATAATGCACCAAAAACATCTGGACCCTGACACATCTCGGTGCAGCAGTGCCCCAGAACCTGTCTCCAACACCCAGATTCTGTGAGATCCAATCAATATTTCGACCTAGTCCCCCAAATTTCATTGTCCAAATAGAGACCAACACAGCTGCTCTAGTCCAAAAACATGTGGACCCCAATGCTTCCTGGTGCAAGAACCTGACTCCAGCATTTGGGAAGAAGGAGGGGGTGGTCTGCTATTAAATAGCCTTCTCAACAGAAATACATATGTGTTCAGCTCCATACACACCATCCTCAAGGTACTCAGCTGAGTTTGGGGAAGAATTCCTTTGGCAACAGTGGCTGGTTCTTTGTGCAGTCACGTACTGGCCAGAGCCATCAGGAGCAATGGTGAGGGTGAGGTAATGGTATGTCCTATCTGCTTTCCGGCTTCACCTTCCTCTTTAAAACTGACCAGGGAAGTTACATGTCAACCCTCCATTCAGACAGTGTGAAGAGCGGGAATTTCCAGGTATCAGCTGGGAAACAAAGTGCCAAGTGCTGGTGGTCACATGGCCCCTTGGTTCCCATGTGTATTAGGGACAGATCTGCTGCTTACTCCTGTAAACCCTGCAGCGCCAGCACAGCTAAAGGGGGGGACGAGCTTGATTCTCTTCTTGTGGATTGGCAACAGAAAGGTTGTGAAGTTCAAGCCAGTTATACCTGTAGGGCCTCTCTGAGAGCACAGGAGTTGTGATTGAGGGCAGACTTTGCAGGCAGTGGGATTGCACAGGTGTCACTGAAGGGCCAATTTGGCCAGCAGAACCCATAGTGCTCATGATGATGGACAGACTCTCAGATCCCAGGGGGAGTTTTCAGGGCTGGCTCCTTTGTAACCTGAGCACACGGCGTCCCTGGGAGACAATACATCTGGATCCCCGCAGTGGCATTGGGGCAGTCACTTTAAGGTCCCCCAGAAAGCATTAACTCTGCCATGTTGCACAGAGAGTGTGCATCTGGTCACCTCTCTGTCTCAAAATCCTCTCTGGCTCCTGGCTCCTTCCATGTTAGCCAAGCTCCTCCTTAGCTCTCATTTGCTCTGCCTCTCTCGTGTCCTTTGTCCCCTTCTCTCACTCTCAACTCTGCGCCTGGTGTCCAGACCTGTCTTCTTCTCCAGCTCAAATGTCTAACATTCTCTCTCCCATCTGCTCCACAGATCCCAGCTCCCAGATGGTCTTGGTGACGTCAGGTCTGGGCGAGAGCCTCTTAGCAGAAACAGAGATGTGACTAGGATACTCCTGCAGCGTCTACTAAGAAAAGCAATGTTTGCCTGTATGGGTGGGCCATGTGCAATGCGTGCATGGAGTGTGTGTGTGTGTGTGTGTGTTCACACCACACATGCTGGGTGAATGTCTGTGCTGTATGTGTGCATACCCTGCTGTGCCCATGCCCACGTGCCTCCAGGAGGCCTGCCCCAATTATGCGCTCACATCCTTCAAGTCCCATCCATGCCACCTTTGGGTTCTGAGTTTTGGATCCTGGCCTGAGTGAATCTACATGAGTGTCTGTGTCACATGCTCTGTCAGCTGCTTGTGCTTATCCACTCACTGCATGTTTCGATCACACAGCCTCCCCCTCCTAGCAGTACATTCCTGACCCACGTGCTGAAGGTTGTATTTATTCAGAGGTATATATTTGTGTATAACAGATGTTCTTTCTATTGCTTGTACCGGTGTCTTGAAGAGAGTTTTATAAAGGTCACAGACGTGGCACAGCTCATGGCTGCAAGAGGCTCTATCATTCCTGCTCCCACTGACAGGGAAGGGCGTTGAATGGGCTGGGAGAGGTTGATTGAGCGGGTGAGCCCGTATGTCCTGGAGCAGGTGCTGGGCAGAGTGTGTGAGCAAAGACCACATGGCCAGACTCTACTGCTCTGTCTCCACTTCCCCATGACCCAGCGCTGGCTATCAGGCTGGATGGGCTGAGAAGTTCTTGATTCTGTCCTTGTGGGAGAGAGCCAGATCCAGTGCATGTATATAGGAGATGCTAGAAGGCCTGTATGTACCATGGCTCTCTTCTGTTCCATGAGAGCAGAGCCCTGAAATCTCACTCATTGCTGGTACCTTCGAAGCATTTGCTCCCACAAGGAATCAAAGCGGAGCCAGATTCTGTATAGCCCCATCTCCTTGAAGGGGGGAATTACAGTGAGAAAGGGCCAAAGCCCTTGCAGTAACAGGGGCCTGTCCCTCTAATCCTGGAGCTCTTCTAACTCTAGCTCTTCTGTCAACAGCTGCAGAGCTGGCCAGTGAAAACCTAGGTGCTACAGGCAGAGGGGAGGGGGACTCAGGCAGGGGTGCGCTGCCCTTTTCACTCAATGCCTCTGGAAAGTGCAGAGGGATGCAGTTACAGGGTGCGACAAGGGGATTCAGGCAGAGGTGCACCTTGGGCCACATCCACACCAATACTCCAGGGCAGTGCCAAGGGACGATGTGCTGTAGAAGCCGCTGTATCTCAGGTGAGCCTTAAAACCAAGGGTCTACTTGTCTTGGAGCAGTTTATGTAAGAGTGGGGAGGGAGGTCACATTCCAGCTTGTGCGAATCCAGCCTGCCTTCCTGAATCTGCCCTGGGAGACGGCTTGTCTTGCCCTCCCGTGGTGCGTTCCCACGTGCTGTTAGCCCAGGCTGGCAGTTTTGCGTCAGTGAGTTTGTAAAAGCAGCAAAGAGTCCTGTGGCACCTTATAGACTAACAGACGTATTTGGAGCATGAGCTTTCGTGGGTGAATACCCACTTCGTCGGATGCACAGGACTCTTTGCTGCTGTTACAGATCCAGACTAACATGGCTACCCCTCTGATACTTGAATTTGTAAAGTGCTTTGGGATGGCTGGGGCACGGGAGCAGTTTAAGAGGTTTTATTCCATAATAATAAAACCCAGCAGGGCAGAGCCCCATCGCATCTGAACTCAATCTAGCATCTCCTGCATGGCCACTAGAGAACCAGGCAGAGTGGTTAGCTGGAAAGGCTCAGACTGGAGCTGGCTTCAAACCCTGGTAGAACAATGAACCTGCAACTGGCTGTGGCATGGAGAGCTCACCCTTTCCCCGCTCCAGCACTGCAGAGAGCCCTCAGCGCAAGGGAGTGAGCACACCACAAAAGCTAGGAGAGCCACGAGGAGGCAGCAGTGCTCCAAAGTGCCTGACTGGCTTGGCTGGGTGCCAGCTCAGCTCCCAGCCTCCAGGGCCTGTGGTGGTGATGTCTGCCTGATGAAGGGCACTCAGCTCTGGCCCTGCAGCACTGGAGGAAGGCTTTGGGGGAGGGATGGGAAGGAGGGCCAAGCAGCTCAGTGAGTTGTGGGACATAGGGACCCATTCCTATGTGGTGGGATCCTGTCAGAGGCCCAGACTGGGCAAGCTGGTGCTGGGAAGAGCCCCACTGCGCACCTGGTAGGAAAGGCCGCACTATGGCAGCATCAGCTCATTAGCATTCTGCCAGCTCTGCTCTCTTCACTGCCATGCAGCTGCGTTTTTATACACACCCAGACTGATCCAGGCCCTGGGTCAGAGCCACCTTCCTAGGCTCCCACAGCACACTAGCAGCACCACAGCAGTCTGGGTCTTCTACATGGCCACACATGTACCACTTGTCACACCCCAGCCTCTTCACTGCACTGGACAGTGATGCTCTCGCCCTTCCTCAGAGGTTGAGGTTCTCCTGTATGCAGCACAGCGAAGCAACTGGGGCCCACCATTCTGCAACCCCCTCCATCTTCCCCCCCCCCCCACTCCTGAGATCTACCGTTCAGCTGGAGAGAAGGAAGAGGTCACCCCAGTGAATTGGGTGTTGAGGGAACCCAAGCACCTTGTAAAGGTATTCGGGGTCCTAAAGCTGCAGAGCAGTGCCTAGTTGGGGTCGGTGGGAGTTAGCTGCTTTGGAAAATGCCACTCGCAACATCTTTAGCACCTTTGAAGCTTAGCCTTCCTGTGCCTCAGTTCCCCACGTGTGACACGGGGCTACGATCAGTGCCCTACCTCACAGCGGTGTGGGAGGCTCAATACAGCAAGGACTGTGAGGTGCTCAGAATACTATGGTAATGGGAGGGGGGCATCGAAATACCTCAGATAAATAGAATAATGGGGCCCCAGCAAAAGCCCACACACAGCTGACAAAGGGAGGCTCAGGGCAGCCCTGGAGAAGCGGGAAGGGTGTGAGCATCAGCAACTATCTTTCTCCGGAGGGAGCTGGGGGAAAACAGGGCTTTCTACAAGGAGGGGATAGGGATTATAACCAGAGGCAGGCTCCATGAAGGAGCCAGTGGGGCCAGGGAAGCAGAGAGCTGGCAGTGGCTCACAGTAGCTGACTGTGCTTGGCTCCTCACTACCAAAGCTTGGGCTGTGATGTGCCCATTTCCCATCCAGAGCCCCCCTCTGCTGTTATGTGATGAGGATGCACCTATTGATTGCAGATCAGCGTGCACTCCTCCCCACTCACTGGGGGAGAGGGAGGGAAGCTGCTGAGCGACTAGGCAGCCGCTTAGAATATTTCCCTCACTGCCCAGGCAAAGACCATTGCATGAAGTGGCGAGCAGCATCACTGCAGAGGGGGCAGGTTTCTGAGAGGGAGGGTGGCTAGGAAAGGCAGGATTTGCACAGTAGCAAATGCAATGTGCACCTAGTCCCCACTGCAGCCAACCAAGCTGAACTAGCCAGTGGCAGAGCAGAAGCAGGAGCACAGATGCCTAGGTTCTATCCACAGTAAGAGAAAGGATGGGATTATTGTATGATTTGTGTTCTCCTCCATGGGGGAAGGCTGCCACAGCTCCTCCAGGAACACACACAAGTTGGTGGGGATTCAAGCAAATCAGGCAGGTTGTAACCCCCCCCCCCCCCCCAAGAGAGGCATCACCTGCTGCAGAGGCTCGCAAATACTAGTTAAAACTGGAGTCTCCCCGTACCCGACAAAGAAGGGCTTTTGGATACATAGCTTGAATTTACACTGAGTCAGGATCCAGCAAATGGACAGGCCCTTCGGTCCAAGAGGGGCCCCCAACCCTCGTGGAAGGGCTGACACCTCTCAGAGAGTCAGGGTGAGGGCTCATAAGCTTTTTAGCATGGGTGTAGGTTTTTATTTGTTTAATGTTTTCTCTGTAATGCTTTCACCTTAAGAACATGCTTTCTTACCAAGAGCGGTTTGGTAACGCACAACTGCTGGCTAGTACACTGTTCATAGCCTCTGGAGAGACAGCAAACTGCAGACACTGGCCTTCGAGGCAGCCTGGCTTGCTGGGGATATCACACTGCAGGCAGGGAACTGCACAGCCTGGGACAAACCCCAGTCAGGAAGGCAAGAAACACGGGTCTCCACCTGAGAGAGGTGATGGCTGAGAAGCCGGGAGCCGGGGGGGGGGGGGGTCCTTTAGATGACCACAGACTTAAATTCCATAATATCTGCAAAGCTCCTCCTGTGGAAGGTGCAAGAGATGGGCTTCACTCCCTCTCACGTTAGACAGGGCCCACATGCTTCTGTTCCTCTTCCCTCCCTCAGTACTAAACCCACAGTAAGAGTCTCCCCCAATTTCCCCCACAGGAGCAGGACTGGCGGTCGTAAGTCATCCACCTCCAGGCTAGGCCCAGGGGCAGTGCCTTGACAAGGCAGCTCCATTGCCCAAAGACTAAACCCCAGCTCTGCATCTCATCTCCCAGGCTGTGAGGGAGGGGGCTGGGTCCCTTGTTAGAACCCTGCTGGGGAGGCAGAGCTGTGGGGGACTTGGCACGGAGCATGCACCCTGTGGAGAAGGCTCCAGCCAGTGCCTGCCCAGCAGGATACACACAGTGGGCCAAGTGCCCCCTGCACCTTGTTGGAGCCAGGCAGGGGGGAGATTGTGTTTCAGGGCTAGAATTAGGCTGGAGGATTAAAGGGCAGCAGGAGCAGCTGCTCCCAGGAGCATCAATAAAATAAATAATTATAGGGACAAAGGGAGCAGGAACCACAACTAAAAAGGGGGGAAAGGAGGAGAGCCCATCAGGGAGGCAGCACTGGATCAGCTCAAGCTACCACATGGAGAGGCAGGCAAACAAGTCTTCCTCTGCTTGGCCGTCAGGTCTTGGCCAGGGAGCTCCTAAGGTACTCTAGAGTGAACCTCACTGTGTGAGCTCAGCGGCCCCTTTATCCCTCAGACTTGAACAGCCTTTTCCTGTGGGGTTCATAGCATCACCAGCACCAAATATTCAAAAATCACAAGTCAGGCCCCCCCAAAGTTATGGGACTGGCATAAAAATCAACAATAATAAAATTTAAACAGTGGGTTCTCTCTCTTTGCCGTTTGCTTTCTGAGCCTTTAGGTGCCCGTGGGTCATATTTGCCAGATTTACTCCACAACCACAGCGTTAGAAAGACACCTCTTTTAAATGAAAGCTGCCAGTCTCACCTAATCACATGGCTCCAGGAGCTGGGGCTTTAAGAAAAATCACCAAGCAGCACAGAGTTGGCAACAGAGTTTGGCGCATGTGGGATAGTTAGAAAAGGTGCCAGACTGAACCCTGGAATTACAGCACAGGTACAACCAGCCCCAACAAGGTCCAGAGGTGTTCAGTGCCGCTTTCTCCCATGAGCCCTACGCCTCTCTCCTGAGTCTCGGGGACTCAATGCAAGGAAGGTTTTGGTTAAATGATGCTGGCCTTTGAGGCAAGAGCATCTACATTTTCAAAATATGAAACCACAAAACTTAAAGCAGCTAGTTTAGCTTCACAGAATAGTCATGCAAAAGGCAAAAGTACCCTTTAAACAAAAGTGTGCTCCTGTTGATACTGCCAGCTTCTAAGTCAATAACATGCGAACATTGCTGGGAGTGAGAATTCTTCCAGAAACTTAATGAGCCGAATGAGCCTGAACACCTGGTAACATTCACTATGAGTAATGGAGCAGCTCCCATGGCATCTGTGCTCATCTGACTTCTCTTCAGTCCAACACTGTTCACCACTCTAAACTCTCCTTCCCCGTCCCTGTTGAGCACCGAGTAGATGCTCTGTGCAATGAGACATCTTGAACAAACATTGTGTAGTTAAAGCGCAGACATGTACTGAATGGTGAAAGGAAGAACCGGGACGTCATCTGAAAAGACAGGCCATATGCTCAATTTATCCCTGACGAGCCAGCAGGTGGCACACAGGACCCTGCACACCTCTGGGACAGCAGCTTGCCATCAGAGGGCCCCCGGCCACCAGGATTTACCTGCTCTTGGCTCCCACCCAGCACCCCACAGCCACAGCTTACTTTTAAAATAGTTTATTTCTGGTTTTAAAATATACATCAGTTTGAAAATCTCAGAAAAAACATGTTAGTTGCAGATGAACAGGCTGGAGTTGGGACACTGAAAAGTGGGGGCCCCCATGAGCCAGTATTGCCAGACACAAGAAGGAGGGCAAAGGCCTGATGCCCCACGGACGCAGCCTCAGAGCAGGTTGCTCCTTCTCTCCTGGCTGCCCAACGTTCCCCTCACCATTTCTCCTGTGGGCTCTGCTGCTGCCTGGTCACACTCCAAAGGAAATGGCTCCTCAGGGCCTGGACGGGGCCTATGGGCATTCCCTTGCCCTTGCTTCTAGCCTGACGTGATGAAAGGCAAAAGGGAGATTAGCTTTTGCCTTACAGGGACCAGCACACCAACTGCTTCTACAATCAGGTGGTTTCCATTTTGGTCTGAACTGCTCAGGACAGCCAATTGCAGGGCAACCAGGGACCTTTGGGTTGAGCCAGGAGGGGAAGCACCTCTTGCGGAGAGATGGAGGTGATCAGACCCACCTCTACTAACCAGCTCAAGGACCAGACACAGCCCAGGCCAGCCTCCGCATGCTCCCAGCAGCTTGCAGCTCAAGACACACAAGTGAGGCCACCACGCAGCCCAGATGGCTTGCAGTCAAGCTGTGCTGACAAGGTACAGGAGCCCGATCAACAGGATAGGGTGGGAGGAAGATAGGGTGGGAGGAAGCAGCAGCTTGGACCTCAGCACTGCAAGGAGGCTACAGGAGAGAGAGGAGCTGGGCTGGGCAGAGCCCGCCCCCACACACACACAGAGGATTAGTACCTTGCAGGTTGAGAAGAGGCTCCCACCATTAGCACCAATTTGTTAGGGCAGCTGTGCTGAAATACTGAGTCCCGCCCCAGCTCCACGCTGAGCTGAGTGGCCAGGAACAAGGCAAGTGCACAGGCAGCCACTGTGACCAGATTGCCCAAACCTATCCACACAGGAAGCAGCCACAGGCTGGGCCAAGACACAAGGAGAGGGAACAGCTCCTTTCACACAGGGCCATCCCTAGCCATTTGGGTGCCCTACTCAGCCCCCCCCCCACTCCGCCCCCGCAGGGGGGCTGTGTGGGGCCCCAGGACTCCTGCCCCGCCCCCAGGGTCTGGGAGGCAGGAGCTGAGGGAGGGCACTTTTGGGGACCCCAGTGGCCCAGGGGATTAGCGGGGGGGCTGGGAGCAGCCCGCCTCCGCTTCCCCTGCCCCAGCCCTGTCACTTGGGGGAAGGGATCCCCCACTCACCGGCAGCAGCGGGAAGTGGAGCAGCCCAGGCCCAGCCTGCTCTATTCCACCAGCTCCCAGCTTCCCACCGGTGAGTCGGGGGGGGGGGGGGGGAGAACCTTTTCCCCTTTTCCTAACTCCCCACACACACACCCCAGCAACATGGCTGGGGCTGGGGCTGGGGCAAGGGAAGCGGAGTGGGCTGGGGCCGCATCACTCCGCTTCCCGCCACCGGTGAGTGTGGGGGGCGATCCTTTCCCCAACCTCCCTGCACTCACTGGCGGCAGGAAGCGAAGCAATGCAGCTGGGAGCTGATGGAGTAGAGTGGGCTGGGGCCAGGTTGCTCCCCTTCCCGCCGCTGCCTGTGAATGCAGGGTCACCGGGGAGAAGAGGTGGAATGGGGTTGGGCCAGGGGCAGAGCAGGGGGGGAAGGGTAAGAGGTGGGGCGGAGGGAGTTGTCCGGGGCCATACCCCCCTAGGGATGGCCCTGCCCGTTGCAGTGGGCGCAGCCCATGGGGGGGCCGGCCGGGAGTAGGGCTGGTCGCCAGGGCTGGTGCTGCCACGCGTATGCGGCACGCAGCTGCATAGGGCACCATGAAATTTGGGGCAATTAGGTGCCCCAAATTTCATGGTGCCCTACGCAGCTGCGTATGCTGCATATGCCTAAGGACAGCCCTGCTTTCACATGCCCTGCAGCCTCCGGGCTGTGGCTGAGAGCAAAGTTTTGGCCCTGGCTGCCACCAGCCACAACTGGAGGGGCTTAGAGAGGGACACTGCCCCAGGACAGCATCTCTTGCTGGGAGTTTGAATGGGAGCTTCCTTCCTGCAGAGAGAGGCTGCACCCTCCATACATAGCGAAGCACAGAGCAGCAGCTCGCTCTCACTGAAGGAGGACACCACAGCTCCAGCTTCAAACCCACCACAGCCAAGGGAAGGGGGTCCCCCAGCCCAAGGGAGCAGCATAGGGACCATGCCAGTGTGCTGGGTTACACCTTCGGGGTGGAGAGGTAAAAATCCAGATAGGCAAGGGCAGGTTAGGAAACTCGTAACTAGACACTGGGGCTCTATCTCCCAAATAAAATATCTACACTCCCGACTTCTCCCCTTCCCTGCCCCAGGGACACTGAGCACATAAACAGTGAAAAGGAAAATTGTCCCAACACTGAACACAAGGAAAATGAAACACACAACTCCAGCCCCACCAGTGGAGAGGCCTTGGAAGGGCACCAGAGCCAGCCCGGGACCCAGCCAGAGGAAGGGGTGCACATGCACAGGGGTCTCCCCAAAGGGCCACTGCTGAGCCATGAGGTACCGTGTCTGCAGCGATAAGCCCTGCTCCTCAGGGGGGTCTCTCTCTCTCTCACCCCAGAGCCCTTGCTGGGGCCCTGCCCAGAGGGAGCTTGCTATGATCTTTCATGTATTGCTTTCCTGGGGTAAAATCCTGCCCTGGAGTCCATATGGCTCTGCTGGAGTAGAAAGGCCAGGATGGGAAGGGGGAGCCTGTGGCTCCTAGGGCAGGACCTCACCCCAGACCTCTGGGCAGACAATGGATTGGCTGTCAGCTGCTTTGTTCATTTATGCAGGAAGAGAAAAACAAAACATTTTAAAAGCAAAGGCCTGGAAAGAAGAAAAATGAGAGGAAGACCCGGGAGCAGAGAATCAGCACCAGTCAAACACGAGCCAGGCCAGTGCAACAGCACCCAGGGATGGGGAGAGACAAACACAATCCAACCCTCAGCACAGAAACCACTGCCATGGGAACTCTGCAGGCCAGCCTCGCTGAGCAACTGCCGGGGGCAGCTCTGGCCCAGTCCCACGGCAGAGGGAACTGGGGCTCTCCCAGGGCACTGCCTCTGCATGAGCCACGTGTTGGGCCAGGCCCACGAGCTAAGCAGCAGGGATCTGCAGAGGAAGCTTTAAGGGAGAGCCAGCCACAACTGCCAGCTGGTTTCCACAGAGATCAACATGGCAGCAGGGGGGAACAAAAAATAGCAAAACAACCGTCCCCAACTCAATGCTCCTGACCCACAGCAGGGGGCCAGGCAGCAAGGAGCACCCACCCCCCAGGGCAGCCCTCATGCCCCACTCAGCCTGCAGGGGTTCACGGGGGTCAGACAAGACCAGGGCAAAGAGTTTCTACTTGTTGGCACAAGTTGAAAGATAGGAACAGAGCAGCCATGGGCACCAGCACAAGTGCGCCCAGGGCCATGGGCATCAGCCTGAAAATGAGAGCATGGGCATGGGCACCAGGGCAAGGTTGTGAGCATGAGAGTGTGAGGGCAGGCCCAGGCCCCAGGGTGAGTAAGGGCATGGGCCCCAGGGTGGGGCTGTAAGATTGAGTGTGAGGGCAGGCACCAGATGAGTGGTGAGCACAGGCATGGGCATGCAGGCCAGGCCGAGTGAGGCCTCAAGTGTGTGTTCTGGTGTGGTGGGTGCGGAACGCCAACAAGATCCTGGCGCCTCAGGGTATCAAAACCAGAATAAATACAAGGTGGGAGCGGAGCCTGCAGCCCCCTGGGGTATGTGTGGTGCCGGGGACACCAACCCTGTGAGTGGTGAGGCAGCTACAGCACTGCCCTGGGGTGCTGCTTCCTGCCGAGCCTCAGTTGAGCAGGTTGCCTTGCTCCTGGGCCTGTGTCAGGCTGTCCTTGCGATGGAGATGGTGGACACCCATCCTCTTGGGGCTGCGGTGTGGCCGCCCTGAGGGAGGCTTGCTCCTGCATTCCCCACTCTCCTCCAGGGCTCCCCCTGGGCTGCTCTCCTTGCTTGCTTGCAGCAGCATTTCCCTTTCCTCAGCCGGGCTCCCAGGTGAGCCCAGGTCCACATAGTCCTTGTGCTTCTCTGGCGGGGGACTGCTGGGCTCAGCGGTGCCCCCGCCACCGCCCTGGAGCAGCTTCCGGGCTTCATCCTGGGAGAAGTCCATGCCGTAGTCGGAGGAGAAATGGCTCCTGCGGGCTCGGGACTCAGTGCTGTCTGTGTCCACGCTCGAGTCCCGGCTGACGGTCCAGCTGCAGCTCTGCGCAGACTCCTCGCCGTCCGAGTAGGCTGAGGCCGCCCTGCCCAGCTCCTGCATGGAGCGGCTGAATCGCTTCTGGAGCTCCGGGGCCATGTCATGGCTGAAGGAGGTGCGGCTCACCAGCACCTGCTCTGAAGTGGGGGGCGCCTTGTCCACAAACATCCGCTGCCAGTTGGCCAGGAGGTCCTCCTCCGAGCTGGCCGAGCTGGCGAAGGCGCTGGGGATCTGGGGTGGGCTGCTGAAAGGGCTGCTATGCGAGGAGCCGTGTGCCCGAGCCGCCTTGGGAGATGGCTGGTAGGAGCAGCTGGAGGCTGAGTGGCGGCCCTCTGAGACAGGGCTGTTAGGGAGCGTCCGGTGCCGGTCGCTGCTCTCGTCCTCGCCCTGCACTAGGCTCAGGGAGATGGCCTGCCGCGTGGCATAGGTGCAGTTGGGCAGCGGGCTGTTCTTTGGGATCCTCACCTTGTCCTCAGAGAACTCAATCACCTTACGCCCTGGGTACATGGGGTGGGGAGGGGAGGGCGTGGGGTAGGGGCTCAGCTTCTCGAAGGCAGGCACCTCCTCTGACAGGCTCTCCACACTGCTCTGTGGCTTGCAGCCCCCGTTCTGCTGCTTCCCCACTTCCCCTCTCTCCTTCCCAGGCAGCCCTGGGCTGGGGCAGGCATCCAGCAGAGCTCCACTCATGTCCACGTGCACAAAGACATCCTCAGCCATGGGACAGCTGCCGCTGCTGGACTTGGCAGAGTTCAGGACCAGTGACTCTGGCTTCTCCAGGACTCTGGCAATAACGGAGGTGGGCACAACGTCAGATGGGGCCAGGGTATGTGCAGCCTCCTGCCCAGGGCCTGGGGACTCTTGGGTGCTGTGCAGGTGCTTATTGACCATGTCCTGCAGCTCGTAGGGAAGCTAGGGAGAAAGCGAGAGGGCATTAAGCAGAGGCTGAAACAGCCCCTCAGGGCCTCAGCAGAGCCCGGAGAGGCTGGGACAGAGCCACAAGCAGCACTTGGGAGACTGCAATATGCTGCCTGGTCCACCCCGCCCTAGCAAACACCCCACACTTGCCTACCCCCTAACATACTCATCTGCTCCCCACCACCTGAGCATGGCCCAGCCAATGACATACATGCTGCCCTCCCCACCCTCAAAACAGGCCTGCCCCACAGGAGTTAGCAGAGCTTTCCCAGCTCTAACTTCTGGCTGCAGGATGCTGCTGCTCTCAGAGCACATGGGAGCCTGCCCCAAGCCTGACCAATGGGCCCCATTTGGGAGAGGGAGCAAGGGAAGACTGCTCACGGGCTTCAGCCCTATAGCTTAAAGAGTGGAGAGGAGGCCTAGCTGGTGTGTGCTAAGCAAAGGGGCTATTGATCAGTGGAAAATCAGCTGGTGGTTGCGTAGAAGTGACTGAACAGCCCCCACTGGCAGAATCTGCAGCTCCCAGGGAGTGCACAGTAATTACAGCCCCACTGCCTTGGCAGCCAGCCCTGGGATCAGTATCGATGACTGTCCTAGCACTTGCTGACTCCCCCGCCTGGTCCAGCTGCCTCACTGAGGCATCAGCAGCTGGGACAGAGCCTTGGTGATCCCCACCCCTCACTGAGGGTTTAGCTGCTGGTTCAGAGCTCTCAACACCAGAATAGTAACACTCAGGGCATGCCAAACATTTCACTGCACCCTGGGGGCAGCCCCCTTAAGTCCAGGGTAAACTGGCTGCAGGACTGGGGTGAGCACGGACCTGCCACTGCCAGCCAGGCAAGCAGGTCGATTCCACCCTGCCTGTTAAATACCATGCTGCCCTTTGACTGGCCACACAAGCACCACAGTGGAAGATTAGGGTTGGGCTTTGTGGACTCCCTCTTGAAATTCCCAGGGCCCCGAGCCATGGCACAGGCTGCTGCAAGAGGGATCCTGAGGTCAGACAGGTGGGGCCAGGGCACACAGAGTGGGAACAGTGGGTGCGAGGCAGAAGGTCCCTGCACAGCTGCATTTTGCGTCCAGTGGCATCCGAGTGTGGCCGAGCCCTCTGACGGGCAGAATTCAAAGCTCCTGTGAGGTGAGACAGCTGGGAGAGGTGACGGTTACCCCAGCAGTAACTGATACGGTGATCTCAGGAGCGCTAATTTGAGACATGCTTGGGGGACAACGACGACACACCAGTCACGTGCTCACTCACAAAAGACAAGCACCAGGGTTGGATGTGCGGGGCACTAGGAGGGCTCTCTAAGAGGCTGGGGGCAAGGAGCCCACGTGACGAGGCTTTATGGAGAGGTGGTAAGAATCCTGGGGCTAGATCCCATTCCAGGGGAACAAGAAATGCCAATACAAACATGGGCTCCTCCCTCACCCACGGGGACAGGACATTCCCAGCCTAGTGCTGCACCCAAAGCCTTGCCCTCCCTCATGCCCTGCCTGCCGACAGATCTGTGAGCCCCCAGGGGTGGTGAGCATACCCGAACCTGGCACGGGTAGCCGCGTCAGTGAACCAGACCAACTGCATCCTGGTTCATCTGGCCCCTCAGTAGGCAGGACGGGCCTTGCACATGGCCAAGTGCGAAGGGGGAGAAGACAAAAGGGTCAGCGAGAGGCCTGCTCCTCTGCCAGCTGCCTTCAGGCACCTGACAGGCTATCGGATTCAAGGCTATTGTGCTGTAGACCACACTCCCTCCCTTGGAAAGGCAGCTCAAGGCTCTTTTTATAACAGTCCCCGACTGAGATGTGAAATGGAGCCAGCCTGAAAGAGGAGCAGGCAGAGGCCTTGCACAGAGGGCTGGGAGCTCCTTACACCTTTGCCTGAGGCTCAGGGGAGGGAGGGGTCACTGGGACACAAGGCAGCTCCCCCTCCCCCACCTGCAGAGGAGAGTGACCAGGCATGGAGTAAGGGCTGGGCACAGAGCAGCTGTGAGCCCCTCCACCACCCTGCAGCATAGCTGCTACTCACATCAGCAAACTTGTGGTTCCTGAAGTGGGACTTGTTGCACTTGAGCAGCTGCACTGCGAGGTTACAGTCCTGCCGATAGCGCTCCTGCCAAGAGAACGCACGGGGATAGGGGTCACACTGGCCTCACCTCATGTGTATACACACACACACACACACACACACACGGCCCCAGCTCCAGCCCGAGCAGACACCTCACTCACATGGGGAAGGGGAGGTCAGCCATCCCACACCATGGGGCTTCCACCACTCCCCTGGGGAGGCTCCTTCGCAGGCCAGTACCTCTCTTGGCCACTCGGCTGACATGCTCCTCTCCATTTCAGCCCCTCAATTAGCTTCTCCCCCTCGTTGGGCCCGACACCCTTCAAATATCTGAAGGTCTGTACCCCTCCCCCACCACCTGGTGCTGTCAGCCAAACTGGAGAGTTCAGTGCCTAAACTCCTGCCAGCATTAACAAGGTGCCCAGAATCAAGTGCAAGATCCCAGGCGCTGTGGTAACCAAAGCTGCATGGAGAGACCATCCCTCTCCCGGCTCTGGGCTGCTCAGCCTTTAGTTTTGCAGCCCAAACTCAGGTGGGTCTTTTTCGCTGCCACTTCACACGGCAAGCTCAGATTGCATTTGCTCTCCACTCAGCTTCTAGGACGCAAGTCAAAGGTCATGCTGCTATTTCCTGCTTCACCTCTCTATTATTTATCTGTCCTCACTGGCGCCCTCGGCTCCCCACAATTTCAGCCATGATTAAGACTACAATTATGTCACGGAGGTCACGGAATCTGTGACTGCCATTGACCTCTGTGACATTTTCTGCCCTGGGGTTGGAGCTCCCAGCCCTGGTGGGTGGGCAGCGGTACCCCGCACAGCTGTCCAGCCACGGCAGGCAGCGGGGACTCCCCACAGCTGAAGCCAGTGGCTGGGGGACCCTGTAGCTACCAGCCCCAGGGGCAGGGGGACCCTGCACTGCAGCAGTGGGGGACCCGGGAGCTCCAGCAGCAGTAGGTACTGGACCCACCTACCCCTTGTGTCAGGGATATTTTTAGTGAAAGTCAGGACAGGTCACAGGCTGCCGTGAATTTTTATTTCCCATGACCTGTCCATGACTTTTACTAAAAATATCTGTGAGAAAAAACCTTAGCCTTGGCCACGATGAATGTCAGCCATGTGCTGCTTGCCCCTCCCCATTCATTAGTAAGGAAGTTATAGACCAGACCTTACATGATCAGCCATGAAAATTCTACCACTCATTTCCCCACATTGAGCAGACAGGCTGTGGACTGGACACTTACATTGAGCTCCTCAAGTTTATTGATGGTAGTTTTGGCATCTAGCAGCTTGTTAGTGAGCTCCACAATCTCCCAGTCCAGGGTCTTCCGGTCCATCTCAGCCTTTTTTATCTGCGGCACAGGAACACAAGGCGTAAATCCCACCGGAACAGGCTGGCCTGGCCTCTCGCCCCACCTAGCCCCCTGCATAGCACACAAACGCGTTCAGCTTGGAAATAAAACCTTCCAGACAGACAGGTAACAGCCCCAGCTCTTCACAGAGGGAGGGTCTCTGACAGCACATGAAGCCAGCCACCCTATGCTGGCTGCTCAGAATTCTTGCCATGTTTGTTAGTTACTGAAGTGAGGTGAGTTTGATCCTTCGCAGCCCAGCTGCTCTTCCTACCCTTCCTGCAGCGGTAGCATGCAGAGACTGAACTCCCTCTCAGCTTTAGAGTCACAAGTGGACCACACTGGCACCGGGGAAGAAGTTGCACTGGTGCTTCTCTGGAGATACACAAAGGATTCAATCCCTCCCACTCCAACACCTTTCACCAGCAGCATAGATCACTGGGTTTGTGACAGCCAATCCTCTCCACCATAGCAACAGGAAGCTGTTGCTCAGAGAGGCATGGGAGTCAAGGATAGATACAGCAGAAGTTGACTCAGCATCAAGAAGACTCTGGGGCTTGCCCTGGGTGAAAGGACCTGTCTGTGCAGTTTCATCTCGGTTAATTCTGTTCCCAAAGGGGAACATTTCCTCACTGGACTTCCAATGGGTCCTGCTCAGGGGAAATAGACATGAAGGCTAATAGCAGTGAGGGGGCAACAGCTCAGAGCTCCCGATCCAGCTCCTCTACCTGTCCCAAGTCCTCAGGGCCACAGAAGCCCCAGAATCTGCTCTCAGCCTGTGACTAACAGGGCCCATTTGTGGACCAGTGGTGGTAGCAGGGCCCAGTGCAACAGGCGGTGACACATGCAGGAACGGGGCATTTCCGAAACATGGATTGACTTTTTGGCAATTGCATAAATAATATTAACCCCGAAAGCTCCTATTGCCAAGGGCGAGAACCGACCCTGCATTCTCTATTATGGGCAGGTGAATGATGAGGACTAGAACAAGCGTCTGTTTACTTACAGTACGGGTAGGCCAAATGGGTTCACAACCGCCCACACCCATAACACAAGTGTTGGAGCCTGTGGGCACTATGCTTCCTAGCAGGCAATGCTCCATTTGGATCAGAAGCAAATGCTCACATTTGGCTAGAGCACTGCGTGCTAGGACCAGTCGTTTCTGCGGACAGCTGTTTTGCTCAGTAGAGGTGGAGCCCTTGGCTGGATGAGGTTTGGGGCCCCTCAGTCGAGGATGGTGCAAGTGGGCAAAGTAATGTGTGACTGACAATGAAAATGACAGGCTGAGACATGTGAAGAGGAGAAAGAAAAAAACCACACAAACGAAAAGACGCAACTGCAAAAATCCAGCTTTGGCTGAGAGAGGCCTGAGAGGTGAGTGCGCCCAGAGTGTGCCAGCGGCAGCATGGGGAGGAGAGAGAGAGGGAGGGAGAGAAAAGAAACAGCCATGAGTGTTATGAATGCACACAATACACACACATGCTGGCTCCGCTCCAACAGCCCCAGTCCCCCGGGAGTCTCCAGGGAGCAACACATCCCTGGCACCTTTCAAAGAGGTTGGTGCAACATGACAATTACATTGTGGGGAAACCAAGCTCCGGTGCATGATAAAGTGGGGACTCAGCAAAGTATCCAGTTCAGGACAACAGGCTAGGCCTGGGGAGGATCTTGGCCAGAACCTCCCCCATGAGCTGCTGCAATGCCTGCCCTGTAAGCCAGGGTCCCTTCCCTCCGGCCCAACACACAGAATTCCCCCACTTCCTCTCCCCAGAGGCTCAGCAGGTCAGTTACCAGGGTATGCAGCTTCTCCTCCAGGTCCTGATTGGTTCTCTGTGAAGCAGTGTAGCTGTTCTGTAACCTAAACAGAGGCACGAATGTCCAAGTGAAAACGAATCCAGGCCATCAACTCAAGTCCTCTTGATAGCCTGGAAGGCGAGAGCTGCCTCTCACACACCAGGAAAGACTGCTTGCTACAGAGCATACCAACATGTTAACTCTTTGCCCCGATTCTCTCTCTCGGAGGCTGTGATCCCCTTCAGCTCTCAAGCTAGACCGGGTCAGTATTTGGATGGGACACCCCCAAGGAAAAAACAGGCTGTTGCAGGAAGTGGTGTGGGCACTCTATAGCACTGGGCTCAAATGTGATGGTAGGAAGTGCTGTTCTAACTAAGGTGCTGCCTTTCAGGTGAGACATAAAACAGAGAACCCAGCCAACTACAGCCACTGATTGCCCTTTGCATTTGTCAGGGTATTAACCCCGGCTAAATTCCAGCTCAGACAATTTCATTCTGCCTCTGTACTATTCAAACAGATAAAGAATTCTCCATTTCCTGCCTTAAACTGCTGGGTAGCATTGCTGTGCTCCTCCCCAGAGTTGGTTACAATGGGTACTGAGCTTTATCTGTAACTCTCCTTATCTCCCCATACCGCATGCCTCAGGTTAACACAACACAGGATCCGCCTTCACCAGCCAGCCAAGTGAGTCCCTAGACAGAGGTACCCTGTCTCCCCACAGCAACATCCTCCCCTCTGGTGTTTGCCATACCTGCGGAATTTGTCCTTGAATTTCTCCAGCTCTTCGCGGTTCTGGCCCAGTTCCAGCTCCAGGTAGTCCTGGCCGGACTCCAGCTCCCTTTCCATCGCCTCCATCTTGTTAGTGACATAGGCCAGCCGCCGGCGCAGCTCCTCGTTCTCATGCTGCAGCAGCCTGAGGCACACAGAGCAACAATGCTCCACTCAGTAAGCGATGGGGGCTGCCGGCCTCAGTGCAGACACCAGCATCTAAGCTCACTTCAGGGCCCTGAGAAGCAGAGACCCCATATAGACACTGATGATGCTTCCAGGTGGTTCTGGTGGCATCATCCAAACAGGTGCTAATGGCCCCCATCCCCTTTCCAGCTTAGCTGTTGGGGAGCACACGGGCATTTCACACACAGACCTCCCCTGTGAATGGAAGGGATTCTTTAGGCTCAGATCTCATCCCTCCTCTCACACCCACAACGGGACATCATGGTGTCTGAAAAGTGGCTGTGTGCATACACTGCCCATGGAGGACTCAGTTGCTCCTCTGGACTCTCAACTATTGTTCCATGCCCCAGGACAAGGACTTTGGGAGGAGGCTCTGCAGGTCAAGAATATGGGGCATTGGCAGAACTGGGGGGAGCAGAAGCAGACTAGTGGGGGATGCTGAAGAGGACAGGAGTGAGATGCACGGACGGAGTTTGGGGGCAGTTGCAGAGCCCCTCCTACCCTAGGTTGCTGTTGCTCATGCCGTGGGTTTTATCTTTATGAGCTGTCAGTGCCTGTAGCAACAAACTAAACTGGCAGGAGGGTCAAATGCAGTGAGAGACATGTCTGCGCAGCTGAGGAGATGAGAAATTCAAGCCCTTGCTTCCTGGCAGCACAGGTTGCTCTCTACTCTTGGAACAGGGGCAGAGAAGCGTACAGCAGCCCCGCTATCCATGTCACCAGCTCCCTCTCAGGTTACAGCATTTGGATAAAGTCCACTAGCCAAATGGGCTGTACAGCTTAGGTGTCCCTCCCTGGAAAATGAAACCCACTCAATAATTTATCCCAGCCCATACTGCAGGAGTTGGACATGAAAGAGGCATCGCAAATCCCCAGCCCCAACCATAACCCTAACCCTAACCATACACTAGAGCAGGAGTCCCTACAATTGCTGGGCCAGCAAGTGCAGCTGGTGTGGGGAGCTCGGGCTGTGGAGGGAGGCATGGGCAGCATACACGATATGGGGAGATGCCGTGGCAGCCTCCAGCAGGCCCCATTATAACACTAAGTGCTGTGTTCCCCTCAAACAAAGACACTCACTCAAAGGGCTGTGTGAGAGACACTCACTCCTACATGTGTGCTTTCACTGTGCTCAACTGTTCAGAGAAACCTAGAAAATACAGCCTCTCTCTAGCTGCATCAGTTTGTTCTTCACTTGGGATTTTGAGGGGAGTGAGATCCACAGAGCTGCCTCCTGCTAGTTTCTGACTGTGCAGCAAGTTTTCATTCACAGTCAGCAGTGGGAGCTCACACACTACAGTGGGTCACACTGAAATGGTAGTGCTTTGAGTTTTTCTCCCTTTGATGGTGAAGAATAGATGTTTTGAATCAGGTGTGTTTGCCCCACCACCTCAAACTGTAACAGCATTAAAGGAACCCTGAGATGGGTCTCCTAAATGCATCCCATCTGCACAGCAGCTCTGCGATTGTCCTTTCAGGGAATGCAGAGAACCACAGCGAAACTTGGCAAGTGGGAGCAGAACAGAGAGACACCTGCCCCAGTCTCTCCAAACGGGCCTAGCTTCTCAACAGAAGGGAAACCCATCATGCAGATTCAAAGGGCTAAGCAGTATGGAGGAAGCTGGATAATGGGAGGTGGGAATCAGCACACACAGCTGCAGTGAGATTGGAGCATGAGAAGGGAACAGGACACTTACTTCATCCTTTCTGCATCCGTCAAGGGCTCCTGTGGTGAGAAGAAAACAGCTGTCAGAACCTCTCAAAAAAGATGTCAGACTCAAGCAAGTACCAAAGGGCAAGATATTGAGAGGTGAACTCCTCCCACCTCCCTGACAGCTCTGGGCAGGCCATGTCATGCATAGCTAGCAAAACTGAACTCTACATGCACTGCTCAGACACTGCTTCTCAAACTAGTCAATATCAAGACAGACCACATGGTTTATTTCAGGGTCAGTAGCAGTCTAGGTTAAACCAGAGACTTTCACAGACAGCCTGCAACTTCTTTCCTGCTGTGCTACAAGTTCAGGGACCCTGCAGTCATCACCCCACAGCTGCTGCCTCAACCTTCAGCAGCTCCACAATGTCTGGGTGGTGAGGATGGGAGTCTCATGGACCTGCATACACAAACCTATGAACCCTTCACTGTGGTGGTGGTGGTAGCACCCCTGGAGATAATGAAAGAACTGCTCTAAGTGGCTGAGGAACTGGGAAGCACCTTTTCCATTTGCTTCACCCAGGTAAGCCCAGATGAGGGTTCCTCTGTGCTCAACTTGGAACAAGGCTCCTGGGTAAACGTGGACACAAAAACAACAGGCAACATGCTGAAGGCCAAACAGCCCGACAGAAGGGCCTACAGTGCTGGGAGCAAGTCACCTGCACCTCTCCAGCAGGCACCCCACACCAGAGCTCCTGCACATAGGCAGGGACAGGGGAGTGGGTAGGAGCAGCTTAGCCTTCCCATTCGGTGCATTTTATGTGCTATCCAGGTGACAGAGGCTGCCTCTCAACATGCCTCACTTGTGGCTGGGAGGAGAATTCCATCTTCAGAGCCAGTTTGTGCTAGAAGGAATGGCCCTTTCTGGGAAGAGGAGGCTAACCCAGGAAGCTGGAGATTTCTCTTTGGAAATCCCAGATTGTTCTCAATGACTTGAAGGAGCAGCTTTGGGACATACTGGATGGAGCCCTGGAGCCTTAGCTAAGCAAAGCACTCAGATCCCCAAAGACGACACTGCACTTCAAAAGGTGCATATTAAGAGACATACAAGGTCCGCGCATGGGACCCTGCCACAGAGATTTCCTTGGAAGAGATTCAGTGCTAGCAATAACATGGTATAGAAGCCAGCCCAATCATGGCCCTAATGCACAGTGGAGCCATTTCCTGCTCCCAACAGCCTAGAGTGCACTGCACTGGCCCACCCTGTACAGGGTGGCCCCACAGCTCTAGCTGCACTACACATGCTATGTCCCCAGCACTAACTGCACTGCATCAGCCTGACTGTATACAGCCCGATACTGTCCCAGTCCCAAGTGCACTGTATTAACTCATACCATACTCAGCATCACCACCCTGCAACTGCCTCACCTCTGAGGACTCCAGCTGATACTAGGCAATCAGGTGCACAAGTATCAGGCCAGGAGATGGGTGATTCCTGTTTAAATGAGTCGATGTCCCAGGAGCCCGCAGGGTGGATGGAAGGGGAGGGGTTGGCAGCTCTTCCAGACAAAGACTCTACCTCAATAGACAAGGGACTTCTCACATAAACATGGATCTGATTTACCAGGGTATCCAGCCATGTGGGGCACATATCTTAAAGCACTAGGAGGATTCAAAGGCCCCCATAGGGCACTAGACCATCCCGCTGTGTCCAGCTCTGCACACTGTATGGTGACCAGATGTCCCAATTTTATAGGGACAGTCCCAATATTTGGGGCTCTCTCTTACATAGGCTCCTATTACCCCCTACCCCCATCCCGATTTTTCACACTTGCTATGTGGTCACCTTGCACACTGGTACCCTGCAGTCTGCTAGGCAGATTCTAAACCCCGGAAGGTAGACAAGCCTGCAATGGGGAAAGAGGCACCAGCTGCTGCTTTTATGGCTAACAACTCCAAGGGACAGCTGTTCCCTTCTCCCCTTTGAACAGAGACACTCCACCTGAGTCACAGCTGGGAGCAACACAACCAAGGAGAGGATCTGCCACCAAACAGGCTAGCGGGGAGGCTGGAGGTTCAAGAGGCATTAGCACCATATGTGTGTGTGGAGCACAGATGGGCTAGGTCTGGAGAGTCACGCGGGTGATGCTCTGTCCCCACTGAGGTCTCAGAATTTTGCTCTTGGGGACCCCTAACAGCCAGTTCAAGAGGAGCCTCCCAGTGGGGAACAATGTGGATTGGTGTGAGGGGGGCTGGGATGAAGACTGCACCCTAAGTGAACCTCAGAGAGCCCCTCACACCACTTGGGAGGTCAAAGTCGCTTGGCCAGGCCTCCCTGGAGCAATGGAGACTCCACATTCCATAGATCAACATCCAAATGGATGAGATGAGAGTTCAGACACAAAAGCCCTGCCCCTCACTCCCCACGTCAGCACTAAGGGCACCTCTGGGAGCCGAGGGGGGTGGGCGTGGCCTTTCGGAGACCTCTGTCCCCATCCTGGGTGAGGGGCCTGGGCTCCAGGACTCTGGCACCTACCTTGTTTAGTGCTAGGCTGAAGGAAGGGGAGGTTCTAGGTGAGGCAGTGCCCTCCTCCTGGCTCCAGTGTGTCGGAGGGGAGAAGGATGCGCTCTCTAGGTAGCCTGGCTCGGTCATTGGCTTCTGGCCAGGTTTGGTGCCAAGATGCTGAGGCCGTACTTGCTGCAATTGGTGCTTGCTTCGGTCCCTCTCTCTGTCCCTTCCTCCCTCCTGAATGGTTTTCCATGAAGGCAGCAGTTGCTGCTGCTGCTCAGAGGACACCCCTGCCAAACCCAGCTCTGCCAGCTGCTGCAGCTCATACTGGCACAGATCCACTACCTGTCTCTCCATGGAGAGGAACTTTTCCTTGCTGTCCTTCCTCACCAGGATGGGCTTTCTCCTCAGCCTGGGGGCCCTCTCAGCCTCCTCAGGGGGCTTCCTCCGGCAGGAAGCCATTTCCAGACCCTCACGCTTCTTATCTGCCTTTCTCCTGCTCAGGCGGTGGCTCTTCTCAGCTGCTCGCTTGGCCCCCTCAGGCTGGCTTTCCTTCTGACCTTCTGGAGTGGAGCCTCTTGGTGAGGAAGGAGAATCCTGGCCTCCCCCTCCAGCTCTGCCCTCCCCCAGGGATTGCAGGTGGACAGGGCTCAGCACGCGGTGGGTGATCTCATCCAGGAACTTGGAGAACTGCAGCTTCTCCTCAGTGACCTTCTCCTGCCGCTTGATAGCATCGGCAGTGCTGCTGCTGCGCTCCAGAGAGCGTCTCTCCCTCCGGCTGAGGCACAGCTGAGGGTCACTGTACTTGCGAGAGCTGCGGCCATGGGCCAGCGTCTCCACCGAGCGGGACTTGCGCAGGCTCTCGGGGCGCACTTCCAGCATGCCTGTTTGCTTCAGGATCCCTTTGAGAGGCAGATGGGTGGCAGAGACCTGGAACTTCCTGGGAGCTAGGACCTCAGCAGGCTCTTTGAACATGAGGGAGCGTTCCAGGCTCCTGCTCTTGAAAGAGCAGGTGGGCCTCCGGCCTTCGTCTCCAGATACCACAACCGTCTCCACGCTGCGGCTCATGAACTTGCTGAGACGCCCCCGGCTAGGGTGCCGGCAGTGCTTCCCGCTCCGCCTCCCTGCCTTCCCGCTGTGCGGCAGCACAGGTGACAGAGTCCGGCTCTTCAGGTTCAGCTCCGCTCGGCACCCTGCTACCTCCTTGTCACTGCTCGACTCCAGGGACCAGGAGGAGGAAAAGTTAAGGTTGCGCACCTCAAACCCATCCACCTGTTTGAGCTGGCCTGCCTCGGCGTAACTAAACCCCGCCTGCTGGCGTAACGGCGCCAGGCCCTTAGCCGCCCGGTTATCCGTTACCTGACTCTGCTCGGCCAAAATCACGCCGTCTTGGTCGTCTCGAAGGATGGGCAGATCATGGCGGATCTCGCGGTGCTGTGGCGGTGCCTTGCGGTAAGGCTTCTTGGATGGAGCTGTGCTCGTCATCCTCCCTCCTGCTTGGGTGCGACAACGGGTCACCTGCCAAAAGCAGAAAGGGCAGAGAGAAGAGGGTCACCAGTGCCCCAGCCAGCCCCGAGGGCTTCCCAGCAGAAGGAGATCAAATACCCTATGCTCCCCGGCAGCTCCCCATCCAAAGTGCTGACAGAGTAGGAGGCGCTGTCTGCCCTGGATCCTGGAGCAGCAGCCGCAGCAGGAAAGGGGGACAGAGAAGAATTTAGCTGTGTCCTTCTCCCAGCCAGTGCGAACAGAGAGTTGGCACATCGCCCCCCCCCCGCCGCGCGCGCACGCTCACGTACAGCGTGTCCAGATTATATATAGTAAACGAGAACAGGCCTCAGAGCAGCATATTGATTGGGCTCTTTAGGAAAGGCCTTTTCTAATATGGAAACTGCAAGCCTTACAGGCAGCAGCGACGGTCAGGGCAGGAGCTATTGATCTCGCACTGTCACTGCCAACAGGGGCTACATGGAAGGGGGCTGCAGTCATTAAATGCACAGCCAGAGCCAAGGAGTCCTTGGCTTGCACTAGTTAAAGCCAGATTGTTCCTGGGTGTCTTGAGCGGAACGTGTTGGGGATTTGGGGAGCTGTGACTCTCAGCAGAGAGAAAAACAAATATAAGGCACCATCAAGGCATGAGATGGCAGCTGGGGTGCGTGACGCTACCCAGCCTTCGGGCAAGAGGCAGGATTATGCTATGCTCAGCAGTAGCACTATAAGATCAGTCACCGCCCATCCCTCCTACCTATGGCAGGCTCAGACTCCCACGCTTCAGGAGAAGTGGTGCAGGATCTCAAATGGGGCAGAGACACGGGCAGAACTACAACGGTTCTCTGTGGACACGGAAGGGGCTTCTGCTTCCGGCCATTTAGAGGTGATTGCAGTGGAGGGCAGAGCTCAGGAAAGCTCTTGCTGCCATCCAGGGTTTGCACCATTTCAGTAAGCACAAGACACGGAGTGAGGTGTGCCATAGGCCACCCAGCAATGAAGGTGCCTGCTGATGTTTCCAATGCCAAGGGCACGTCCGTCCTCTCTTCGTGTACTAGGGTAGGTAACACAGCTACCGCTACGCTCAAAAACAGCCTCCCTCTTCCCACCCTCATCGGCTGTCCTTCTCCTTGCCTTAGTCTCCCAGCGCTGATAATCTAACGCCGCTCTGTGCCCGTGCACTTCCCCTTCCCTCAGCACTCGTGTGGCATCTCTCCAGCTCCTCTGAATTCAGACTAAACCCTCTCCCTCGTACACAGGAGCTGCTCTACCGGGGCAGGAGCTCTCCCAGCCTGGCTCCTTTCACAGCATCATTCCCCCACCATAGGGAAAGCAGGGACCGTTAATTCAATGGCTTGAAGACTTCCTGTTCCTAATCATCTCTGCAATGCTCACTGTGCCCCTCCCTGCCTGAAAACAGGGTTCCTAGCCTGCAGCCCCCAGAACACACAGTGCACAACCGTTCTCTTCATTTGTATGTCCCCACTAGTACTCGGTTGTGTCCTGTCTGACACCTAGATTCCCAGCTCTCTGGGGTAAGGACTGTGCGCATTCCTTGTCTGTACAGTGCCTAGCACAATGGAGCCCTGGTCCCTGTTGAGCTTTCTAGCCATTATATAAACAACAATAATCTCTTGTTGTGTCACGCTCTGCTTTGCCAAAACAGAAGTTCCCACAAGCCCTCTCATATGCCTGGAATGCCCTCTTTGAACTGATCTGTAAGGCCACTACCCCTTCTTCTATCAAATCCTTGGAGCTCACCTTTGCTGCAATGCCCTGGGAAAGGATAGGTTGAGGGGCAGATGAGGACAGATGAGACAATTTCTAATAGTTCTGAAGAGCAAGTCTAAGGTATAGAATGTGTAGAAACACACACTCTGTATCCCTCTCCCTTGCCACCTGGGCATCACTTGTCTTTCTAGAGCAGGGGTGGGCAATAATTTTTGCAGGGAGGCCACTCCACAAATTTTGGTAAGTCATCACAAGCCGCATATTTCTACTATATTAATGAAATTTTTAAATTCAACCCGTCCACTGCAGTGCTACGTAATAAAATAGTTTGTGCAAAAACTGAGGGTGCAGGAGGGGGTGCGGGGTCTGGAGAGAGTTTGGGTGCAGGAGGGAGGTCTGGGCTGGTGCAGCATCTTGGGGTGCAGGAGGGGATGTGAGATGCAGGCTCTGGCCAGGCGGTGCTTACCACAGGCGGCTCCCAGCCGGCAGCGCAGCAGGACTCAGGCAGGCTGCCTGCATGCCGTGGTCCCACACTGCTCCCAGAAGCAGCTGGCTGCTGGCATGTCTCTGCACGCCCCTTGGGGGGAGGCAGCAGCGGGTCTCCATGTGCTGCCCGTGCCCACAAGCACTGCCCCCACAGCTCCCATTGACCGGTTTCCACCAAAGGGAGCTGTGGGCAGGGGCAGCAAACGGAGCCGCCTCCCCCGCCAGGGGCATGCAGAGACATGCCAGCAGCAGCCAGCCGCTTCCTGGAGCAGCAGCCTGCCTGAGCACCTTGCTGCGCTGCGGGACTTTCCGGAGATTGTGAGGACAGAAATGTTAGACAGGCCGTATTTTGCTCACCTCTCTTTGGGACAGGAACCAGGCGCACCTTTGAATATGCACAGCACCCAGCACAACGGGCCCCAGTCCTGACTAGAGCCCGTGGGTGCTACTCTGCAAGACAAACACTAACACTGCCGGGAGGTAACCACTGGGGCCTGCTCCTTCTGCTGCTCATTGCAGGAGCTGAGGTACATCAGCTGGGTGATAGACCTGCCTTGCTGGAAGGGCATTCCTTCTCCTCAGAGAGAGGTGCTAAGTCCTGACTCAATGGCAGCTCATGTTAGCCACGCAGCAGCTAGGTGACAGAGGGATCGTCTTGTTACCTCCTCCCACAGCTAGGAAGCATGGACATGTGCTTGTGTAGGTGTTACCCTACAGCAATCTTTGTAGCTCATGATGGGTGGAGCACTTACCAGCCTGCGCTCAGAGTTGAAGTCTCATGTAGGGGGACACTCACTCAGATGCCCTACAGGTGAGAACACAAAGAATTTAACAACCCCCCCTAGAAACCACTTGAGTGCCCCAGCCCAACCAAACGTGGGTGTCTGTGCCTGGCTGCAGCACTCCTAATGCTCTGCTCTCATGTGTCTGTGGGGGACCATGTGATGGGGAGAGAACTGGTCCCCATCTGTAAGCCCAGTGGGAACTCCTGCTTCAAGGCTCATACTCAGCAGTCAGAGCAGGGACAGCCAGAGGACGCTGGGCACCCCTTGGTCCCCAGTCCCCAGGCTTTGAGAGCCCTCGTTACCGCCCAGTCACAACGCTATTTTAAAATAAAACAAATATACATTTCTGAAGTGGCAGGCCCTCCTCCCCCACAGCCCAGAATCTCCTTGACAAGCAGGAAGCCCCATATCCCCTGTGATGCCGCAAAAGCAGTGCAGAAGAATCTACACTTTGATGTTGAAGGTACGTTTCTAGTCCTTTGGAGTGGGTAGAAAACTTCCCAGTGTTACCGTGGTGCAGCACTGCCTTTCCCAGAGCCAAAACAATAACTCTAAGGGCCCACTCCTGCTTGTGGTGATGGCAAAAGCAAGCCACTAGCAGCAATGGGGCCCTTAAGAGAGTGACACATTTTCCCATTTGCCTCAGTGGGACATTAGCACTGAACTCTGCACAATGACGGATTTGGCCATGTTAACTATTTCCCTGCTCAGCATTTTAGCAGAAACATTTAGCTAATGCACGTATCCAGCATTAGTGGTTGCAGTGGTGGCACCTAACATTCTTATTCAGATCAAGAGGAGCTATTGCATACTAGAACCTAGCGGCTCCATGGCCTCTGTATTAGAAAGAAGAACAAGCTACTCCAGTTTAGACACACAAGATGCTGTTCTCTGGCTTCTGGCAACAGTCACCACAGCTCCAAAGCCCTCCCTACTCTACAGGGGTCTCTGAGGTGAGGTGCTCCCAGACAAATACACACGGTACAAACATAAGGAGACTGACACCCACCTGCTCTGAAGGCCAGAGCCCAGGTTATGCAACCATCACAACAAAACATATTGAGATACTCTGGAGATGGGAGCCAGATAAGAACCTAGCTAGACAGTCATTTCCTTGCCTGCCCCAGGCACTACAGAAATTCCATGGGGCCCTCTCTTCCCCACACACCTCTGCTGCAGACCTTTCCCTCTCCATGGCACCCAGCCCGAGGAGGTGAGGACTGGAGCGTTTGTACACATGCAGAGGGAGAGTCATACACAAGGTGAACGGAACAGGCAGGCAACAGAGACTATGCAGAGCTCTGCTGAAACAAGTTTAAGAGATTCCCCTGGCATTGGCCCAGCCCCAACAAGCTGGCTGGCCCTGTTCCCTACTACAGTGCTGTCCTTGGGCCTCAACTAGTACAGGAAAAACAGCTTCACAATGGCATAGCTACCCCTCCCCAGTGCCCCAGCACAGCTGCAAGACAGCAAGAGAGGCCAGCTCAGTACAGCTCGTACCTACTCGGCCACAGATAGGGGACTCCAAGCAGGGACGTGCTCAGCGCAGCTCCTGTTGGGTTGGCTGTGGCAGTGACTGCTGGCAGACGACAGCTCCAAATGACTACCACCAGTATGGCATAGGAAGGCTCCCTCCCGTCTCACCTGGTACAGCTGCTATGAATGGCCTACGAGAGTCCTTGCTGAGGTCTCCACTGCAGGGATGTTCAGAAGGCACAAGCTAAAGGTCTGGCCGTCTCAGCCACCAATTCCTCGGTCTCACTGTGACTATCTTCCTCCCTTCCCTGGTATCCAGCACCTCTGCCATTCCTCACTCTCACCCCATCAAGGGGTGGGAGGAGGACAACCCCACCTTGAATTCCTAACCCACTCCACAGTCTGAAACAACTTCCAGAGACATTCTGACATTCACATTATCCCCCAAGTAACTGTTCCTCAAAACAAGGACTCACAGATCCAAAGCAATGTGCCTGTCCGCCTGCCTCCAAGTCAGCTCTCCCCTGGTGGCATCTGGCAGCTTCTGAACGGCTCCTGAAACACGAGAAAGGAAACTCGGCGTCAATCACCTATCAGCATCACATATGGACTCACATGCATGTGTGCCCCAATCCACAGCCATGCACTAGGGCTGGAGTCGCCAGCTTCAGGCAGCTTCCCTGTGGCAGGATTTCACAGTGCAACAGGCTCATTGCCTCCACTGTATCCTGGAAAGGGAAGGGCTTTCCAACTATCCCCTCATGGAGCGGGGAATTCCAGGCAGACCAGGAACTCCACTCCCCCCAAACCAGGCGCAGGATTGCTAAATGGCCTGATGCATCCCTCAGTACAGCAGCAGTTTTTGGCAGGATGACTCCAGGAATGACTGCAGAGTTGCATCTCCTCCCTTAATTTTATTCCTATACAGTGCGGTGTGTGTAACCTCTCTCACTCTAAGAAGTTAGTAATTGCCATAGCAGCCGAGGGGGAGTGAGTGGACTTTCCTAATCCTTCACCAGCAATACGGCTGGGGCCCTGCAGGCATAATATCTAGGTTGTCCCTTTGCTCTCCAAAATCAGAAGGGAGGATTCAGAGGAGCGGCTCTAAAACAGGCCTCAGTTCAGAGTGGAATAGAAACACAGGCCGACACATGGGTCTGTTTGTTCTGAGGGAGGGGAGGATGGACTGCTGAAAGGCATGCAGATAACAGCCAGAATTGGGCACACAGCATGAACTGATTCTGCCCCATACTCACCAAGCTGTCAGCAACCTTATCTCAGGTGCTGCCCTGATACTGCAGCCAAGTGTGTCAGACCCAGAGCATCACAGCTTTGGCCTGAAGCCACAGAAGGAGGTGGCTACGAGCCAGGTCTCTGGCCACTCTAATTAGATCTGTATTGCAATAGGAAACTTAATCTCTCAGTCCCTTTTATCTGTCCTCTATCTCTCATCAGCAAGCAATGCTCCTCAAGATTTAAATCCCTCCCCTCTTCTGGGCTGCTGTCTGCAATGATGCTGATCCCATGTCAGAGTCCACTGAGAGATGCAAACACACTGCGAAGGATCATATGGGGCTACCATTCTTCCAAGACGGTCTCCCAGTGATCAGATTCAGCGGTGGGCCTGGTCACCCGACACTCAGAGGGGCAGAGGATTTCAGGGTAACAGAGCAATTCATTCTATGTATACAAACTGCTCGGGAATAGTTCTCTTCTCTCCCCTCTCCTCCCCCCCTGCACACAAGGGGGAGGGGGTGCACCTCTTCCCCTTCAGGCTGAGGGAACCCAGGGCTCTGAAAGGAACATGCTTTGCTTCCTACCCAAATCATCCTAGCTGCCTCCATTCTCCAAGTTCTAATTCACACGTGACAAGGTCCCCATGCCTGGCTTCCAGCATTAGCTGCATTTCCACTCCAGGTGCTCCCTTCCTCCTCCCAAACCCATTCCTATCTGCCCAAGTGACACCATGATGATGCTGTGCAGTATCCGCAGCTAACGCTTGCCCTGGGCATAGGGGAGTGCCAATTAGCTTCACTGCACAGTCCTTCTCTCGTCAACCAGAAGGACTGTCATGTATGATTTGGGGCCTGGGAAGGAGTAGGAGGAAGATCCCCGCCCTCATCAGGAATGGATTGAGAACAGAGAATTGGAAGAGGAACTGCATTTACTGCGCAGGCTCCACAGAACTGTATTAACTTTGTGTTTATAGAGCATGTGAGCCACGAGAAGGTCTATCAGCACCACTCCTGACAATGCAGCTGCCAGCTCCAGTAATAAAAGAACAGTCTTTGCAGTACACTCTAAAGCCCAGCAAATTCAGAAGGGGCAGGTAAGAGGGAGGACTGGGAAAGAGTTCCAGAGTCAAGGGGTACACTCCCAGGAAATGTTCCCTGCTCGTAGTTCTCCCTCTCTCACACCAAGGGGGCTCCAGCATCTATGTTGATCACAATCCAGTTTTCTCTTGAGACAACGCTTCACTAGAGAAGCATTCCTGGGGCAGCCAGACTCCAATGGACTAGGGTACCCCGCAAAGCCCAGAACTCAAGATACACCAATGAAAGCTACCACTGCTGCTCTGTCCCATGCATTAAGGCCTTGGCTACACTTGGGACTTCACAGCGCTGTGTGTATGTACTCCACCTCTCGAAGGGGAGTAGCTTGCAGCACTGCGAGCGAGCAGTGCTGCAGGCACTGATTACACTGGCGCTTTACAGCGCTGCGCTTGGGGGGGGGGGGCATTTTCACACCCCTGAGCGCAGCAAGTTGCAGCGCTGTACAGCGCCAGTGTAGCCAAGGCCTTAGTTACTACTGTTAATGCAGCAGTTTCACTCTGTTTTGGACTGAATCTTTTATTCAAGTCCAATGAGATGTGACTGATCTGGTTACATACCAACTCTGGTGTGCAACAGTTTCACTCTACTAAGATCATAGAAAATGAACTCTTTCCCATCTGCAAGAGAGCCAGAAGGTCCTCTCCCCCTGCCTTGCAGGTATATCATCAGTTGTAGCCTCTGGCGGCCTCAAGTAGTGGGACTGAGAGTCTGTGTAGATGCTGATACTCAAGACAATGGAGCAACCAGACAAGCTGCTAGAATTTCATCAAGAGATCCTGACCAGGAGACTATATTAGCCAATCTGAGGCTAAAACAATCACCACAGACTGTTCCCCAACAGTCCAGCCATAGCAAGAGAGGGCTGCAGGGTATTAATTACAGGAAGTTTTAACATCCAAAGAGGAAGGCTCTCTTTGGAAGCTGGCTAATCGCTTCAGTCAACCAGAGAATCCCAGCTAGAATTAGGTTCAAGATTCATTCTGCTACTAAGTAGCTTGTAGCTTTGCGCTATAGTAAAGGTTAGTTGCTCTCAGCACAGAAACATGCATCCCTACTATGCTGTCTTTGTGTATCCTAATGCTCACAACACAGGTTGGACTAACAATGTTACACTGTCTGTCTCCCCAGAATCAGGATGGAATTCCATGGATTTTCACTCATTCCTTGCTCTTTCATATCAGTAAATCTTGATAGCTAGGTAGACAACATTGCTCCAAGCATGTGATAGGTCACACAAGAGGGATCAAAACAAAGGGATCAGACTGGCCATTAAGCAATGAGTGCTACTTAACAGTTAACATTTTTCAAAGTTAATGAGATCAACAGAGCCCTCTGATTGAAAGCTTTTGTTGTTGTTGAGTATAAGAAGGATCAGGAACATGAATAGGCTGCCCAGCTAATGTTTTCCCAGAAGAGCCTCTTGTAAAGTTACCAGAATCACACCTCCCTCACAATTCCCCTCATCCCCTCCCACTCAAAACAGATCACAGGTTTTCTTTTTATTTATTACGTTTTAACAAGTTTACAAACCCTTGCCTTGTAAATATAAGAAACAAAACCATCATTACAACAGTTGCATTTGTTTAAAGAAACATGATAGGAATATAGTCATCAGATCTTTCTATTTACCAGGGTGTAACCATATTACAAAGTGAGCATCATTAGTATTCCCCTCCAATAATATGCTGTTTCTAGATCACAGGGTTTCTAATTCAGCTGTATTCCATTCACCAGGAACATATCCTATTACTTACTGCATTGATTGATCATCATCAATTTGTACAGTGCCTTATATCCCAAACCCTTTTATAAACTTGAACTGATCAACAGTGCACACCCCCTACAACCATCCAACACTGACAGGCAGCCACCTCTGGAGTGGAATGCAACAGCTGATTAACAGCTGAACAGCAAAAGGTTAAGACAGGAAGCAAAGAACCTGATACCCAACCAAAATGTAGAGAGAATGTCAGTGGGGCAAGTTAAAATTTGGCCAGGATACCAAAACTAGCATTCCAACTCTCCCTCTCTTTTTTTAATAAAAGTACTGAAGAATCTTTAATGGTTAGATTCAGCATTAGCTCAAAGAGTGCCATCTACTGAATTATTTGCACCACTCCCTGCTGTACAAGGTTTTCACTGAAGATATCCCACCCATATACTGAACCAGCACAATCCTGCTTAGATTGGGCTGTGCTCTCTTCAGATCTCACAAGATGGTCTGGCTGCTGGCCAAGTAGTTCTCTGCTCGAGTTCCCAGTTTACATTCGTTTTCCCTCCCCTCACACATATGCCCGTTTTTTAATCCCCTCCCCCAAACAAATCTCCTCTTACCTGTGCTATCTTTAAAATGTCTTCTCTGCAGGCAGAGCTAAAGAATCATTGTTAGGCCTCATGCTGAAACAGCAACAGCAGCAAGGCAGGGACACTTAGCTGTTTTGGCGTAAGCCTCTTGAAGGAGACATTTCCCTTAGCGAATAGTTCACAGGGAGCAGATGAGCTGTCAGAGGTTCCAGAGGATAACAGCGATGGCCCTGACAGCATAAAGTGAGCGTTGATCTGAGGCCTAGTACTCTGGGCAAGTGCTGGCAAAACACAGGAGAGAAGTTAGGGAGCCATTGTTCTAAATTCTCTCTCAATGAGCAGTGAGGGAACAGCTGCAGCAAGCAAACTGTTTGGAGAGCGGTGTGGGAGCGTGGGTGAACATTTCTGAAAATTCAACAAGCAGGAATCCCCTTTCCCAGTGCTCTGCCAGCTCTTGTGCCGTGTGGGTGGGCATAGGAGGGGAAGAAGAGGGAGAAAGAAGAAATCAGTAAACCGCTTTCCTGGAGTATGGAATCCAAAATAAACTACTAAATCAGACAAACCAGGAACAGGTTAAGCTTTGCCTGGTCTTTCCTCAAGCAGCATAACATTCACTAAATCTTGTATAATCCACAGCAATCTAGATCAGCAGCCCCTCTATCTAGTGTCTCAGTCTTGCGCGCTCTGAGAAACCTATAGCCACTCACCCCATAACAATACAGAAGACCAAAAGGATCATTAAGATAACCCTCTAGTACATAAGTTATCACAACACTAAAGGATGCTCCATACTCCGGGTCTTTACATATTCACTGTAATACACTACCTCAACATCCCCATCCATGAACGCTCTGCAGCTACAGAGAAGGCACCACAGAACTAGTGTTCTGTGTAATACTAAAACACATCACCGGCAAC